ACCAACAGTCCCGAGACCATCCTGTATATCAATAAACCATATCTCTCTAAACTTATATTATGTATACCAACAGTCCCGACACCTTCCTGTACATCAATAAAACACATCTCTCTAAACTTATATTATATATACCAACAGTCCCGAGACCTTCCTGTACATCAATGAATCACATCTCTCTACACTTACATTATGTATACCAACAGTCCCGAGACCATCCTGTACATCAATAAACCATATCTCTCTAAACTTACATTATGTATACCAACAGTCCCGAGACCTTTCTGTACATCAATAAACCATATCTCTCTAAACTTACATTATGTATACAAACAGTTCCGAGACCTTCCTGTACATCAATAAACCATATCTCTCTAAACTTACATTATGTATACCAACAGTCCCGAGACCTTCCTGTACATCAATAAACCATATCTCTCTAAACTTACATTATGTATACAAATAGTCCCGAGACATTCCTGTACATCAATAAACCATATCTCTCTAAACTTACATTATGTATACCAACAGTCCCGAGACCTTCCTGTACATCAATAAACCATATCTCTCTAAACTTACATTATATATACCAACAGTCCCGACACCTTCCTGTACATCAATAAAACACACCTCTCTAAACTTATATTATATATACCAACAGTCCCGAGACCTTCCTGTACATCAATAAACCATTTCTCTCTAAACTCAAATTATGGAGACCTTCCTGTACATCATCAAATTAACTACATCTCTCTAAACTTACATTATGTATACCAACAGTCCCGAGACCTTCCTGTACATCAATAAACCATTTCTCTCTAAACTTATATTATGGAGACCTTCCTGTACATCATCAAATAAACTACATCTCTCTAAACTTACATTATGTATACCAACAGTCCCGAGACCTTCCTGTATATCAATAAACCATATCTCTCTAAACTTACATTATGTATACAAATAGTCCCGAGACATTCCTGTACATCAATAAACCATATCTCTCTAAACTTACATTATGTATACCAACAGTCCCGAGACCTTCCTGTACATCAATAAACCATTTCTCTCTAAACTTATATTATGGAGACCTTCCTGTACATCATCAAATAAACTACATCTCTCTAAACTTACATTATGTATACCAAGAGTCCCGAGACCTTCCTGTACATCAATGAATCACATCTCTCTAAACTTACATTATGTATACAAATAGTCCCGAGACATTCCTGTACATCAATAAACCATATCTCTCTAAACTTACATTATGTATACCAACAGTCCCGAGACCTTCCTGTACATCAATAAACCATATCTCTCTAAACTTACATTATGTATACCAACAGTCCCGAGACCTTCCTGTATATCAATAAACCATATCTCTCTAAACTTACATTATGGAGACCTTCCTGTACATCATCAAATAAACTACATCTCTCTAAACTTACATTATGTATACCAACAGTCCCGAGACCTTCCTGTACATCAATGAATCACATCTCTCTACACTTACATTATGTATACCAACAGTCCCGAGACCTTCCTGTATATCAATAAACCATATCTCTCTAAACTTACATTATGGAGACCTTCCTGTACATCATCAAATAAACTACATCTCTCTAAACTTACATTATGTATACCAACAGTCCCGAGACCTTCCTGTACATCAATGAATCACATCTCTCTACACTTACATTATGTATACCAACAGTCCCGAGACCTTCCTGTATATCAATAAACCATATCTCTCTAAACTTACATTATGGAGACCTTCCTGTACATCATCAAATAAACTACATCTCTCTAAACTTACATTATGTATACCAACAGTCCCAAGACCTTCCTGTACATCAATGAATCACATCTCTCTAAACTAACATTATGTATACCAACAGTCCCGAGACCATCTTGTACATCAATAAACCACATCTCTCTAAACTTACATTATGTATACCAACAGTCCCGAGACCTTCCTGTACATCAATAAACCATATCTCTCTAAACTTACATTATGTATACCAACAGTCCCGAGACCTTCCTGTACATCAATAAACCATTTCTCTCTAAACTTATATTATGGAGACCTTCCTGTACATCATCAAATAAACTACATCTCTCTAAACTTACATTATGTATACCAAGAGTCCCGAGACCTTCCTGTACATCAATGAATCACATCTCTCTAAACTTACATTATGTATACAAATAGTCCCGAGACATTCCTGTACATCAATAAACCATATCTCTCTAAACTTACATTATGTATACCAACAGTCCCGAGACCTTCCTGTACATCAATAAACCATATCTCTCTAAACTTACATTATGTATACCAACAGTCCCGAGACCTTCCTGTATATCAATAGACCATATCTCTCTAAACTTACATTATGGAGACCTTCCTGTACATCATCAAATAAACTACATCTCTCTAAACTTACATTATGTATACCAACAGTCCCGAGACCTTCCTGTACATCAATGAATCACATCTCTCTCCACTTACATTATGTATACCAACAGTCCCGAGACCTTCCTGTATATCAATAAACCATATCTCTCTAAACTTACATTATGGAGACCTTCCTGTACATCATCAAATAAACTACATCTCTCTAAACTTACATTATGTATACCAACAGTCCCAAGACCTTCCTGTACATCAATGAATCACATCTCTCTAAACTAACATTATGTATACCAACAGTCCCGAGACCATCTTGTACATCAATAAACCACATCTCTCTAAACTTACATTATGTATACCAACAGTCCCGAGACCTTCCTGTACATCAATAAACCATATCTCTCTAAACTTACATTATGTATACCAACAGTCCCGAGACATTCCTGTACATCAATAAACCATATCTCTCTAAACTTACATTATGTATACCAACAGTCCCGAGACCTTCCTGTACATCAATAAACCATTTCTCTCTAAACTTATATTATGGAGACCTTCCTGTACATCATCAAATAAACTACATCTCTCTACACTTACATTATGTATACCAACACATCTCTCAACATTTTTTCAGGGGAGAGCACTCTTTACTTAAGAATGTCAAGGTCTGGATTGAAATAAAACAAACAAAGTAATGTAGTTATAGTATTTCATTCCATGTCATTTTCACAATAAGGACAGAAACTGATGATGAATATATTCACATACAATCTATTTATTACTTACAATATTTATGATATATAGGAAAAAGGTATATCACAGAAAATAAGGATTTGCACTATTCACTTACACATCAACAGAAAGTTTGACCCAAAAGCTGAAACTTTGATACAATTTTCTGGACAGTGGTTTTATATCTAATGGTTGTTTTAATGTTTGAGATTCATTTGAAGTAACGTTCTAAAATAAACAAAATCTTTACAAAAAAAAAAAAAAAAAAACCAACAAAGCCTGCTTAGTTTTACTCCATTTATCAGGAAAAATGATTGTTTACATATGATGTTACATCAATGACATTAATGTTTTCATGTTATATCTCAGTTTTATTAAGAGTTTTTCTTAGTTGATTCTCAACAAGGTATAAATACATATATAATTATATTCGGAAATTCAATAATTAATTTGACATAAGTCTATGTCATATATAATACAATGCACTTCCGTCATTTTCATTGCACTTCAAATAACTTCCTCGTCAGAATTGAATTTTGAAAAGAGTTTTAGGAATGAGAGTATAGATATACAATTCCTGTATCAAAAGGAATCTTAGCTTTAACCCAGCCAAAACATTTACAGAACACAACCCATGTCCAGAACATAGCCATTAAAAATCTGTCTGTGCAAATCATATAAACAGTGATTCTCATAAGGTGCATAATGGTATTTTATGTGTAAAACAAAAGTACAAAAGTTTGGTGGAAGATGATAACATATTATGATCTTACTGTTTTCTTTCACCTTTAAACAAAACAAGAAATATGTATCTCTACTTCAATAAATATAATACAAATGTGCCTTGGTGGATTTATAAGCATTCTTATAAGCTTATATCAAATATGCTTGAGTGTCTTGCATTCAAAGATTAAATTATTCAAAAACTGTCAATAGAATTAACCTAAAAGCTAAGAAATCTAAGTATCTGGTGCAAAATATCTGGCATAGTATGAAGAAAAACTATAAAAATGATAGTGCAAGTTCTGATGTCATATTGTCTGCTACAAATTTACTCAAACGCACTTTATGTTGCAAAAGAAAAAATCATAGAAATGTTGTTTATAACTGACTATACAATTTTTGCCTGATTTGAAACATATTTGCAGACTGGTATGAATATGGAACCTTTATTTACAAACTATATACAATGTTTTTGTATTAACAAGTAGCAGAAAATACAAAACAATAACACCGTCCATATCAGAACTCTTTTAAATTGTATAAATAGCACAACTTTCTTCCATTTTGTTATTCTCTTTTTTTTTTTTTTTGTAGATTTTTTTGGGTGTGATGGGGTGGGGGGGGGGGGGGGGAGGGTAAGATATTTCTGTAAGAAATTACATCATGATATTTTGTGTAACAGAATTTACATTAAAGCATATTATTTTCTGATCCATTTATTCTCTTATACTGCTGCAAATAAGTTGTGACAACATTATATGTTCACAATCTGACTGGAGTAATTCCAGTGATAAAACTTTTAAATAATGATGTTTATCAATTTATAAATCCATGAAAGGCACATCTTGGTTCCTTTCAGCAGCATAACAATACAAATCATTTCATGTGTCCAGATAGGACATTGAAACATTTATCACCTAATATGGTGTTGAAGATATATATGGTACACACACCGGCCATTTAATGCTGAAACTGATTCAATAGTATGATTTGTTATCACAATCTGGTACACATGATCTTCTGTAAATGTTCATAAACTGTTCTTAATTCAAGAAGCATTGTAGGATTTGCAATAAATCCTGTAATCAAACAGAATAATGTTCCTACGAGAGTTCATTTAGAATTTTTTGAATTGACCAATCACAGGAGTTGATACATCTTTAGCCCATTGATACTTGTAACATGTTTGGTGGTTTATTCCGTATTGACATAGTAGGAGTGCCCGGAGATTTCCTGAAGCTTGGTTGTGGCTGTGACATCGCAGTTTCGTAAGTTTTCTAAAATATAAAATTATGAAAATAAGAAACATACGAATGAAATATTAGCTTTTCACTTGATTATTCAAGTCTTTTTCATACAGTTACAGAGTTACATAAAAACTTTTTCCTCCCTATATCCAACATGACAAAGAAAAAAAGTAAACCTATGATTTTTTTATTTGTTTATTAACATGTACTGCAGTTCAGTAAGTGTTTCAAAAGATTATCATATTATACAAAACCTATTTCTTTTTTCAGAAAATGCCATTACCAATCAGTAGTTTCCTTCCTTGCTAGGAAACTATCAAACACTTTGTCATGATTTTGGGCAATGTCAACAACACTGGTAGTTTGAACTCTGATTTATTTTCACAAGCATTCTGCATGATTTTGTATAATTAGAACAGGTCCAACAGTATCTATTTAATTATATCTGGACTGAAACCAAATGTTTATCATATAGAAAATGTTTCATGAGGAAAATGCTACATAACCCTAAATTCACCAATATCTATATTATTAGCATGATGATTATGGGTGATGTCAATCTACGAGTCAATTATCTATAAACATTTTTGAATTTCCAAAATATAATGGATGTTTCAATCTCAAGATAAATGTAATTCTGGACTGATGAAAAATAATCTGAAAAAGGTTATACATTTAAATATTGACAAAAGCCAAGTTCATGATCCAATTTTTTCAATCAGTAAAATATACTTACTCTTCGCTGAGTCCTCATCTGAGCATTATAGAAGGCTGCAGAGTCTGGGTTATTCATCAGCAGTTCCATCTGGAGGCGGTCAAACTTCTCATGTTCATCTTCAGGCTGTATAAGTGGAGATCACTCTTAATAAATGTTTCTTACTTGACAGACCAGCATTAATAATGTGATAAGTTAGCTATGGTAGTGTACCTTACTCCGGTAATCTGCTGATTTCTTTATCATTCCAACATCTGTTGTGTCCCTTATCAACATTCTTCAAGTACTACATCAGACAGACTGTTTACTTCATTGTATGACATGTCTCCAATTTAACATTTAAAACACAACAAAATGGTCCATGTACAATAAAATGTTATCATGGTTAACATAGGCTTTTTATTACTATATTACAGTGCATTTTTGTGATCATTGAAATTAAAACCAAGTTCAAAATGTTGCTCACGATGAATGTTTGTGACAGGTTCTAATTGTAAAAAGAAACTCTTGCCTTCTAGCATTTCGGTAGACAAAGTTATCTTTTGCTCAAATAGTGGATCAGAAAGCAAAGGATGGTAGGTTTAATGACTGGTACAGACACTATAGCCATTTTACAATTAGTGTTGTAGACCAATCTAAGTGTAAGCTAGAGAAGACTGAGAGGCATCAATGGAGTAGGATACTCTGTGATGATGTGGTCTTCAGGGGCAAACACATCAGAATTGAATACAGTGGCAGGTTTTAAGGGTATAAAGATATGGTCGCCTTCTTGTTTCTTACAATTCAGGGATTTCTCAAAGGTCACTGAAGACTTAAGCCAGAGGTTGTGTGTTTGATCCCCAGACACGCTACTCTTTTCTTGTAAAATATTTGTTGAAATTCAGGCTTTCACCAGACATACTTGTATTGTATGACAGATAAGACTTACGATTGTATTTGGATTAAATGGTAGCTGTACTCCGGGTCGGACCCCATGACCTTGGGCTATGCTTGTCTGTGCCTCATCAGATGGTCCAACAAAACTCTCAGAATACCAATTGTCAAATTCTGCAAAGCAAGCAAATCTTGTCAGTTCTTTAACTACATGGATTTAGGTCTTTGGTTTTTAGAATACCATACTTAGGGGGAAAAAAGAAAACTTAATGAAGAAGTGTTGTTGGCACTGTTCCACCAGGAATAACCAAATATGCCACACACTTACCATGTACCAAGATGTGTCCACACTGTTCCACCAGGAATAACCAAACATGTCACACACCTACCATGTAACAAGCGTTGTTGGCACCGTTCCACCAGGAACAACCAAACATGTCGGACACTTACCATGTACCATGTGTTGTTGGCACTATTCCACCAGGAATAACCAAACATGTCACACACCTACCATGTACCAAGCGTTGTTGTCACTGTTCCAACAGGAATAACCAAACATGTTGGACACTTACCATGTACCAAGCGTTGTTGTCACTGTTCCAACAGGAATAACCAAACATGCCACACACTTACCATGTACCAAGCGTTGTTGTCACTGTTCCAACAGGAATAACCAAACATGCCACACACTTACCATGTACCAAGTGTTGTTGGCACTGTTCCACCAGGAATAACCAAACATGTTGGACACTTACCAAGTACCAAGCGTTGTTGTCACTGTTCCAACAGGAATAACCAAACAGGTCACACACTTACCATGTACCAAGCGTTGTTGTCACTGTTCCACCAGGAATAACCAAACATGCCACACACTTACCATGTACCAAGCGTTGTTGTCACTGTTCCACCAGGAATAACTAAACATGTCGGACACTTACCATGTACCATGTGTTGTTGTCACTATTCCACCAGGAATAACCAAACATGTCGGACACTTACCATGTACCAAGCGTTGTTGGCACCGTTCCACCAGGAATAACTAAACATGTCGGACACTTACCATGTACCAAGCGTTGTTGTCACTGTTCCACCAGGAATAACCAAACATGTCACACACCTACCATGTACCAAGCGTTGTTGTCACTGTTCCACCAGGAATAACTAAACATGTCGGACACTTACCATGTACCAAGCGTTGTTGTCACTGTTCCACCAGGAATAACCAAACATGTTGGACACTTACCAAGTACCAAGCGTTGTTGTCACTGTTCCAACAGGAATAACCAAACATGTTGGACACTTACCATGTACCAAGCTTTGTTGTCACTGTTCCACCAGGAATAACCAAACATGTTGGACACTTACCAAGTACCAAGTGTTGTTGTCACTGTTCCAACAGGAATAATCAAACAGGTCACACACTTACCAAGTACCAAGCCTTGTTGTCACTGTTCCACCAGGAATAACCAAACATGTTGGACACTTACCAAGTACCAAGCGTTGTTGTCACTGTTCCAACAGGAATAACCAAACAGGTCACACACTTACCATGTACCATGTGTTGTTGGCACTGTTCCACCAGGAATAACCAAACATGTCACACACCTACCAAGTACCAAGCCTTGTTGTCACTGTTCCACCAGGAATAACCAAACATGTTGGACACTTACCAAGTACCAAGTGTTGTTGTCACTGTTCCAACAGGAATAACCAAACATGTCACACACCTACCATGTACCAAGCGTTGTTGTCACTGTTCCACCAGGAATAACTAATCATGTCGGACACTTACCATGTACCAAGCGTTGCTGTCACTGTTCCAACACAAATAACCAAATATGCCACACACTTACCATATACCAAGATTTGTCCGCACTGTTCCACCAGGAATAACCAAACATGTTGGACACTTACCATGTACCAAGCGTTGTCGGCACTGTTCCACCAGCTTCTGGCAATACTGTACTTCTGCCTTCAAATTTTTCAGTTCCTCAAAATCATTTTTGTATTGCAGTTTACAATCTTTGAGACGCTTGATCTCAAAGAACTCTTCTTCGCTGATAATGACATCGCCCTCCTCGTTATATTGTGGTCCTAAACATGGAAAAAACTTACGGGTTAACAATGACAGGGTCCAGACAGATTTCACAGTTTGTTGTATTATAGTTCTAAACACTGACCTATTGATGTGCTAATGTGATATCATGTAATATCAAGGTAAAGACGTATATTGCATTATTAGAAATAGCACTTAATTTCTGACAAAGGATGATGTCGTTCTCTAATGGTGTAATACCTTAAATATATCCCATGAAACATTATATAAATAAACTGGAAAAGTAATTTTGTTCCCTCGAATTTATCTCATACAGGGGTGATTTTTAGCCCTCACTCCCCCCCCCCCCACCTCTTGTTTTGGCTAAAGTCCAAATCTATTAAATACATAAATCTTTAATTTACCATCCCAATACTGTCCATTTATAAGAAAGCATAAGTTTAATGACTTATTTTAGTTTTTATCTTAATTAAGTTTTTATCTTAATTAAGTTTTTATCTTAATTAAGTTTTTATCTTAATTCATCAAACAAAAAAACAATTCAATCAAATCAATACTTAGGGCAATTTTCATTTCACACCAACTTTTCAGAGATTTTATTGAAAATTAAATGTATTGAATAGAAAGGCTACAATGAAATAGAAATAGGTAAAGGGAGTTAACTCTGATTACCATTATCTTCTCTTTCCATGCGATACTTTTCCAATCGTTCTCGTGTCTTGTCAATCTCCACCTTGTTGGCATTCACCTGTCTCGCTAACTCTGCATAGGACTGCTTCTTGGAGTTCAAAATTTCTGAAAAATTAAATGTGGGAAATCTTTCAAATGCAATCCTAAGATATTAAGACTAAATCATTTTACATCAAAAACCCTGGCTTGAATTTTAAAAATTTGTTGGAAAACTCTTGTAGTAGACAAAAATTCATCACATCAAATATAAAAATCTTGAACATCAACAAGTAAAGCTTGGACAATATATCTTTATTATAAGCAGATGTTACATGGACTTTGTTTCCTCCACTGGGAATCAATATTAACAGTCCGGACAAGTCTGTGAAAATGGCTTGTGATTGGTATCAACCAGGACTAGAGAGTCAGTGAAATCCAGCTGTATTGAAACTTCACAACACTTTTGCTGGCTATTCCATCTTTTGGTTTTCTCCATTACTAGACACCTAATTAATACAGTCCAATGTTGAAAATTTAAATAAAAATACAAAGATATCTCCAGAATATAATCATAGCTGATATATTTGGAAGAAACTCTTTCTGCAAATATGCCATGAAACCCAGCAGCAGTAATCAAGGTATTTCCCAGTAGGTCACTTGCCATTATATTATAAAGTACTTTTAGAAAACAAATTATTGCATACATGCCAGGGAATGTAGATCTGAAAGTCCCTTACGTTTATTTTCTGTTAGTACCCTGTTGATCTCACTGCCACGGTCAGCTTTGAACTCCTCAAATGCTTCGGTCCTGGGGGGTGGGGTACTCGTGAGGATCTTGTCGGCCCGAGACACACCTGAGATGCTGGTAGGGGTTGGGACTTCTCCATCCCGGTCATCCCTCTTCTCACGCTCTGAGGGATGTGGAGACTTAATGTCCCTCTCTCCCTTGGCACTCTGTGAGGGACTACTAATACTCTTTCCTCCCACCGGACTGTAAAAATAATCAACTTTATAGATACATAAAGATTATGAATTTTATATCCTACCACAAAATGCCATGCTGACAAAATCTCTGACCATTTATGAAGTAAAAGCAGTCTTAAATGGAATGGGTGAAACAGAAATGAACAATGGAATGGGTGAAACAGAAATGAACAATGGAATGGGTGAAACAGAAATGAACAATGGAATGGGTGAAACAGAAATGAACAATGGAATGGGTGAAACAGAAATGAACAATGGAATGGGTGAAACAGAAATGAACAATGGAATGGGTGAAACAGAAATGAACAATGGAATGGGTGAAACAGAAAATAATGATGGAATGGGTGAAAAAGAAATTATCAATTTAATGTCTGTTTACTGCAAACAGATACATAATAATGTACAACTTTACATCTAGATGACTAGCATGTTTCTTCACATCTTAAATCTTGATATTAAATTAAGGCTTGTAAGCAATCAATTCATATTTACACAAAAAATGAGAGTATTGGTAGTACTGTTTTCTATCCTCTATTTTAAAGTCCAGATGAACATCATAGAGACGTCTTGATGGCAATCTATAAAACAGTACAAGTAAGCCAGGTATCAGCAGTACGTTTTCTCCACTCTGAGAACTGATACCACCAGAAGTGTTTCTTGTAGGATTTTTAGAAGATGGCAGTTCTAGGTCTGATGACCCATCCTTTACCTGCCACAGTTACCACCACTAGATTTCCTACACTTGGGTTTTCTATTTTATCAAAAGGTAGGCAGGCATGAAATCTTCCACAAGTATTGAGACATAACTCCATCTCTAAATCTGTGTTGGTTTCGGACATTGTGTCATGGTCTGATGTAACTCCATCTGGATTGTCACTGAGTATTGGAGATGACGAAAATTCCAATTAAGCAGCTTTTTAAAATGAGTTTGATTTATTTGCAAGTGTACATTTGATTAACTATTTTGAAACTGTATTAATTTCTATCTATTTTAGAGGGTGCTATACCTTTTTAATTTTTTTCTTCCAATGTATCTAAGTTTTATTTACAGTGTGTTAGGTTTACATGTTTGTCTTGTATTCTTGTGTAAGTGTAATCATTAAGTGTAATATGGATAAAAGCAAACATTTGGTCAGGAGAGCTTCTAGAGTGTAAATAAGAATAGTAAGAGAGCAAACAGGACAGAAACAGATACCTTTTTGTGTCACGTCCAGTGCGACTCTTCCTGTCCTTTTCCCTTTCTTTCTTTTTGAGTTGAACCACAGATGAGGGATCAGCTTTAGCCACTTTTGGAGCCATTCCGACACCGAATCCCTGACCGTCTGGCTCACCCACCAATGTGCCATCATCCGTTATAGCAACACCCGCCTTCACAGGTAAAATAAAGGGATCACTTAGCAACACAATGCATGTGATACAAGTTTTCATCATCAGATTTAAAATGACTGGATCCAATTATAATGTATTAAACCTAGGGATGAAGTCCAATATATAAACTCCACCCTACTCTATCAAAGAAACAAGCACCACCCTATCTCCATGCCAACTCTCTAACTGCCATAAATCCTCCCAATATAGATCCTATACAATCACCCTTCTCCCTCCTGACAGTGCTGTCTATATATGACAGTGTGACTTACCTGTTGAGCTGTGACAGTGTGACCTACCTGTTGAGCTGCCGCTATAGCAGCAGGGTCAGTCCTGTCTATAAGGGTGAATTTCTGTCTTAATCTCTCCTCTACATCTCTCTCCATTTGTCTAAAAAACACAGCAGATGTATAATAGTATACCAAGGACAACATCAGTCTTGTAATATCTGAATGGATCTCCTGATAAAAAATGCATGTGACCAATACATAATTCTATCCTCAACAAACTGACATATGTTTTTAACAAAACCTAACTTTATCACAAAAAGTTACCCGCAAAAAAGTACCCATAAAAAGTTATACATTTTCAATACCCACAAAAAAGAAGACCTTTTCAATACCCACAAAAAATATGTTTTCATCAGAAACCGTTATACCTTTTCAATACCCACAAAAAGTTATACCTTTTCAATACCCGCAAAAAAGTTATACCTTTTCAATACCCACAAAAAATTATACCTTTTCAATACCCACAAAAAAGTTATACCTTTTCAATACCCATAAAAAGTTATACATTTTCAATACCCACAAAAAAGAAGACCTTTTCAATACCCACAAAAAAGTTATACCTTTCAATACCCATAAAAAATTATACCCATAAAAAATTATACCTTTTCAATACCCACAAAAAAGTTATACCTTTTCAATACCCATAAAAAATTATACCTTTTCAATACCCATAAAAAGTTATACCTTTTCAATACCCACAAAAAAGTTATACCTTTTCAATACCCACAAAAAAGTTATACCTTTTCAATACTCACAAAAAAGAAGACCTTTTTTTATCTTTTTCTTTCATTTAAATAGTCAAGATCACCTCTGATTGTGTAACTTTTTATACCTTTTATTTTTAAGTATTAGATTGGAACCCTGGTCAGAAATGGTTCTAGCATTTAAAGTTACAAAACATTTGTACCTAAATATTTGTACCTTTTTGTATATTTTTTTATATGGGCCAATGTAATTTATGAAAGCTTGTGTTCCAGTGTTTTATACGTTACCGAGACAAAACAACATTAACTTACAGATAGATATCTCGGAATCCTTCAAAAGTTCCCTGTATTTGTCTGATGTTTACGATCTGTAACATAAGGAAATATAGGGATTGATTTAAAGTCCATCTAACAACAGAAAAAGGTAAAACAAATATAGACGTACCCATACATCAGCAGTAAACCATATGGGATATAGATATTGGTAGATGTGACACTTGAAAATCAAAAAGTATCTGTATAAAGTTAAACTGTTTAAAAGTAACATATTACTCACGTCAATTTCTTCCAGTGAACCTTCCAAGTAACGCCTGACTTGCTGCCGTATCTCATATCTCTGTTGCTCTGACAGAGGCTCATATGTGATCTGAGTCCGGTTTGTCTGTTACAGTTATAAACAAGTGGTAGTTATCTCCCCTTGATAAGCAATGGTATATAATGTTAAAGTCAGGTTCAATCAATGTACAGTGTTTTAAGCCAGGTAATAAGCATACCTACAACAAATGCTCTGTAGAAATGTCATCATGTGATAAATCACGAACCGATGTAATAACTCGTCCCAAATTTCTGAGGGGATAACATTTTTACTGTTTCTTTGGGTACTGAAATGATCCATGAAATAATAAGATGTGTTTCGATATTAGTCATGGTTCAGTAAGATTAGAGGTACAGGCTGCTGACAGAGTAATACTGTCACTAGTCGACCCAGTCTTGTTACTAAAGGATATTTTGACAATTTCATTCATATGGAACTGATTAAATGGTATGTGATACAGATTGTTTGTTATCTGGTACAGAACACCTTCATACATATATTAAATTGATTATCATACTAATGTTTGGCTGTTAAATCAGAAATCACATATTTGAACAATTTTATTTTGGGTCATGAGAAATACTCTCAAAATAAGATATCAACTTGTACCAACATTAAGAAATTTCAATTAATTAGAATTTAATTATTTTCCTCAAAGTGAAAATTGAAATTTAATTATTTCTCTTTACGTGAAAATTAAGAAAATTTAAACCCCTGGAAATAATCAGCTCTGCAGTGTTTTCCTCAAGCACCCGAAGAAGAAATTTCTTTTTCTTGCCTTGTGGATAAATTAATAAGATTTGCCATCTACAGAACAAGTACTATGATGAAGTCATCTAACAGATTAAAGTGAGACATTTGATCATTGGTTACAGATATAGCAATATCTTCTCTATACTTTTTAAATCTCATTTCATTTCAAAACTGAAAGAAAAAAATGACAACTTTTATATGTAAGATGAGGATGAGTAATTATATATTTTACTTTTGAGCTGCCAAGCTTGTCTCGAAGGGAAGTTACATATCAAAGCCATCATACAGTCACAATAATTTATATATAACTTTATAATCTAAAAGTCTTCCATCTTAGACTCAAATTTCCAACCTCACCCTGAATATGGTGAATGTTTCATATCCGAGGCCCCAACTCACATACTTGCCAATTCTCCCTAAAACAGGAGGGAGATTACTGTTTTTGACTGCCAATTTAGATCTATCAGTAAATAATATAAACATTAATTGTTCAAAATTTCAGAGCCCAAGTAACAGATCTAACAAAATAAACAGATTAGTATATAATGTTTTAAGGTACAAGTTTGTATCCTATGAAGATTCTAAAAGTATGTACGGAGGACATGACAGAATTCTGTTGGTCTGTACTCACCAGGGTGTCATGCATCGCTAATTCATTCTTCAGATGTAGTATCTCTCTCTGTAGTTTCTTAACCAATACCTAAAATACAAAGAAATGTCACAATTTTATACAGAAATTTTCTCTGTTTTAATCATGATTAACAGAATCTTTTTTTCAAACAAAGTCTGATCATTTATTGAATCACCTAAACAAAATAATACATTGTCTTCTGCCCGCTAGAATCAGAATTTTGTTTTAAATTTCAGGACATGTGATTAAATTCTTGTATCTGAATGTAACCAAATTGTAATTAGTTTCTTTCGTATACCTGTATATATAAAGTTATGGTATAATAGTCCTTTAGACTTTTACCGGCTATCCATAATACAAAGAATGTTGGTAAGAAATATTTATATGTTGTTAATTATTCTATTGCTGATGATGTGAATGCATAAAGGTAAAATATGTTGGAAACATTAACAAGCAGCACTGACCTTCATATCCAATACCATATATGCAGTGGATTTTTGCACATTACGGAAACAGAACACAGACTGAGACATAATAACAAAACAGTATGATCACTTACACTTAAAAAGAATTAATCAACGCTAAAAAATTTATCATATTCTGGAAAATAAACTAATCCACTTGGTATAATATCAACAACTTTGTATTACTTACCGCTGGGTCATAGACCTCATTAACGGACGGCTCACTCGCAACACACATCATCCTGGTGGCAAACCGCAATGTTGATACCTGTAACACACATTACATCACTCAAACTGTGTCAACCATGCTTTAGGCCCAGGCTTCGCAGGGCTTTAAGTCTGCATATATCATGGGTGGGCTTATTACTGGACATGGGCTTACTGTTGAGTAAATATGGTATTACAGTACAACATGCTTAGCCCTCAAAACACTGTAAACTACAAAAACGTTAATTATTTATGATTGTTATCAATACTGAATAACTGATGAAGTTTGTGAATATCATACCACTGTATCAACACTCAATTTCATAACCATTAAACATGCACAAAAAAGTAAAGAATTCAAAAAGTCAAAATGGTTTTTTTTGTTTAGTTTCCCTCTATCTTAGAGCTGTTACCTTTCTTATCCTGTTGAAATATCAGTGATTTAGAGAAATATTTCCCAACAAATGCAAATCCGGAAATATCTGATGAAAAATCATTATCACAGAATATCTAAGGCCACTAACATCCAACTTCAGTATTTACCTTGAAGAACTGATGAATTTTTAATCTATTTGTTTTGGGCACTGTAGCCATGGCAACATGGGTTGGATTATTGTAGTTCATTAACAAAAACACCTGAGTTAACAAAGCCAGTAACACACAAGATAATACCTAAATGAATTCCCACCCCCCCCCCCCCATAAATGAATAGTATAGTCTACATCAAGGAGACAGAGCATTCCATTACCATCCACTAGGTTTAGGTTGATGTAATATACATGTATCATGTTTAACCAACTGTTGGACAGTGCTGATCAAATATTAAAGGGGCTCTGCCCATAAAATTGTTAAGTATCAAGACTATTCAAACCAATGCTGTATCCCAAGGGATGTATATCGTGAGAATCATCACAGTTATTTATAGCCATAGTGTGAAATAGTGCCATGCTTTGGAATGTAACATTTCGTTAGCCTAAAATGTTGAATATCAAAATTTTCAAATTATTTTCTTCATAAACAATACAATTTGTATTTCTTATTGGCATGAGATAGTATTTACTAACATCAATAATAATCTTTTTTTATTTTCAATTAATAAAAGAAGTCACTAAGTATTATGTCTAAATATATTTCCATTTTTTTTTCATTCAAATCATAATGTTATCACTTAGCGAACTTGAGCTAAAACCAGTCAACAAAAAAAAACAACAACAAAAAAAGAAAAATCCCAGAAGGATCTTGGCGCCCACCATTGTTTGATTTTTATTTGCCCTTTGAAAGTCGGATATTTTCCTTTTTTTTCTCTTCTCTGTTTTCGCCCTTAATGATAAGACATTTGAACACTCCTTTGCAGAAATAGAAATGATCATCTTTACCTGCCAAATCCAAAATGGCTGTCTGGAAGTCATTTTTTCCTTGGATCAGTGCCAAAATCAAACAAGCAAAAGCAGAGACCAAAGGGAACATACATATGAAATTTGGGAGATATCCATTCAGTACTCCTTAAGAAATAGTAATAAAAATCTTAACTAGGCAAAATCCATTTGTTTTTCATATCAGTCCCAAACTCAAACAGGCACATCTAGGGACCTAAAAGAATATATACATGAAATTTGAGAAAGATCTATAGAGTTGTTCTCAAGAAATAGTGACAACAAACTTTTGATGTCAAAATCTAAGATGGCCACCTTTTCGCCATTTTATTTTTTCTGATCAGTACCAAAATCAAACAGGCATAACAAGGGATCAAGGAAAGCATACACATGAAATTTGAGAAAGATCTATGCTGGAGTTCTCAAAGAAATAGTGATAACAATCTTTCAAAGTCATAATTTAACATTTCTCTCTGTTGGCCACTTTGTATTTCTGATCAGTCCCAAAATTAGATGGGCACAACTAGGGCTCAAATGGAACCTATTATAAAATTTGAAAATATTCTATACAGTAGTTCTCAAGAAATCGTGCTAACAAATTTACAAAGTCAAAATCCAAGATGGCCGCCTGTCAGCCAGTTTGGTCTTTTCGACGAGACCCAAAATCAAATTGGCACAACTAGGGGCCAAGAGGAACCTACACATGCAATTTGAGAAAAATCCATCTAGCATTTCTCAAGACATATATAACGATAAAAAAAATTGTTTACGGATGACGGAGCACAGACATTGAGCAATTTGAATAGCTCCCCATATGATGATGGTGGGTTAAAAAACAATTAACAAATCCTAACTGAAATTCAATAGATATGTATTCAAAATAATCTTCTCTACATTGACTACATCTTTGAAATAATTTTTTGTTGTAAAGATGTAAGATTTTATCATCTGTGCTGAACTGAAATTCAATAGATATGTATTCAAAATAATCTTCTCTACATTGACTACATCTTTGAAATAATTTTTTGTTGTAAAGATGTAAGATTTTATCATCTGTGCTGACTGTGACAGATCAATGTTAACCAACACAGCTGAAGCCATACAACATCAATATTTAACATTGTATTGATTTTCCCCCTGATGGCTATCACACATCACAAGTATCAGTGATTATCATTATGTGCTGTTATTCAGCTAGAGCCATTCAAGTGTCATTAGTTCTGATATTTAACTGTAACATCTTAAAACAAAATCCAGTTTTTAATCTCAAATATATGTCAAATTAGCTACTGATCTTTTCTAAAACTGATAAAACCCACACTGCCTCAGTGATAAATAATGATATAAACTGCCAGTGACTTATTATGAAAACTACCTGTCATAAACTGATTTCTTCCAAATTGAGAAGCTATACTCTATTACAATGTCTTCACTTTACCGGGTATATACCCTCAAGCTCAGGTGTTAATATATAAACAAAATGAAACAAGGTAAGTCTGATTTAAATTGAATACTTGGTAAAACTAGTGTTTGATAATAAAGGTGAAATGATTCCAACTTACTGTTTCCTCCAGCTGAGGTGATTCTCCCCAAACATTTGCTATCAGCAGAGTGTTACAGCTTCCCCCAATGGAATCCTTGAGGCAGTGTGTGAGTTTTGACTGACGGAATGGGATGTGTTCACGACGACGGTCTGCCAAGGCAACAATCACTTGCTCCAGGAACGTCAAGGACTTGTTGATGTACATGGCTTCTTGTTGTGTCTTACCTTCAGACTGAAATACCAAATAGCCTTATTGACTTACTGGTTATCGTGTTGAAGAAATCTTCAAATTGAATCATTTCTTTAATTAGATTAAACTTCCATGCAAATATACAAATTCATGGTGTTTTGAAAAAAAAAGTTACAGGTCTCTTTTATACTTTTATCTATAAAAAAAGATACTTTCCACTTTTAAAAAATTAATAACACATCTTAAGTGTTGTAGGTAATAACACGCCACGTAATGAAGATTAAGTCTAGGACACATCTAAACAAAGCCTATCAATTCTCTGCCAACATATCTGATCCAATTCAAAGACCAAACTTTTCAAATATCTATTTTAGACAGGTCCAGCAGTCAAAGAATGAGATACATCAATAATAACATAGATAAGAAGTTTAAAACATACATCACTAATATCAGTCATGACCGGGATATTGCATATATCTAAAAGGACCATTAAGTGACAGTTGAGTTATATCAGTATTTTCAAAACCACTGAAGATAAGTCTTTTAAGCCACGTTGAATTTATGATAAGATGATAAAAAAAACACCCAACAAATCATAAATGATTTCAAAATAACATTTGATAAAGTAAAGTTTAGTGTATATCATGAAAGTGTACAGATTAAAGCGTTTACAAAATAGCACACCTGCAAAAGCATATTTTGTAATAGATGGAAATTTATTTATGAAGCAATGAGCATAGTCCTGCCAATGCACTCTATAGCTTTTCCTGGGCTGGAGTCAAGTCAGTGTACAAGTGTGCTTGGATTATCTCCCTTGATGTTCAAAATTATTTATCAAGTAAATACATCTGTCATTACAGTGGTAAATCCAATACCTATGTGTAGTTATCTTCTGTGTCTGTCAACGTAATTAGAATATAACTTTCTATTTATCCATAACTACCTTGGTTTTTCCAAGACGTTCTGAACCTGCAAGATCCACAAAATTTAACTTGGAGACAGTGTATCTTGCATTGGACTGTACTCTGGATCGTGTCTGGAAAAAAAATAATTAAACACATATTTTATATGATGTACATTTTAGATAATTTTTGTATATTATCAATCTGATATGACTTGTAAAAACATACCTTAACCTAACCACAACTAAACATAATTGTGCCAAATACATTTTTTCAAAGTTGAATGAAATAGATAAAACTACAAACAGGTTTTCAATCAGTTATGTAAAGAATTCTTTCAACCCTAAAATCTGACCAACAAAACAAGATTATTAAGCATTTAAAATAATATGGAGTCAATAGTATCTTAAAAGTTTGGAAAAGCAGGAATCCTTATTAAGCATATTATTCATGTCATATCCTGTCTGATTTAGCTTTTTTCAAAATTATTTATTTGGTTTTCAAATTATATTGATTTCAAATTTTCATTTCATATAAACAATAAGGAATATTTCAATAAACAGACATCAAAATTTGTGCAGATATTGTGTCATCATTTGATATGTTAACCTCTGTAACAATGCGTTTACAGATGGGTTGGCTGAGATACAACTTACCTCTATATAGACAGTAAAGATACAGTGAGAACGAGAAGATTGCTTGTTTAGGGAATGTGCTGAAATGGCTCGGTTCGTTTCTCCCTAAGTTAAAAACAAAAAGTTTAAAATGCACATTTGGAATTTGCTATGGATTTTACAACAAAAACAAAAGATGCAAATTTTGTTTAGATATGATAAGTTGAGGTGTTATGCATGTAACCATAGTATAGAGGACTGATAGTCATTTTATACCAAAATACATTTAAACAATTCAGGCACACAGAGCCAAAAATGGATATAAATTTTTCACAAAAACTTGAGATTATTTATTCCCACTGAAATAATGCTAAACTCTGGCAACATTTCAATGGAAAAAAGTTAATAAATGAAATAAAAACTTATGATGCTACCTTTAACAGTACATATTTGTCAATTCTCAATAATATTATCAAGAAAAATAATTACCTCGAATAAGAAGTTCAGAGCTTCTTCTTCATTCTGAGCTATGTGATGTGACAAGCCCTTGACAAAGACACCATCTTGATTTTCCACAACAACCATTTGTTGTTCAGGATTAGCCTGGTTCCAGGACTCAGGGAGAGTGGACAGGAGGTCAAACATATTCTCATTGTAAATTTCTAAATATGATACCCTGGAATAAAGATCAATAAAGTATCTTGAGTTTTTTAAGAAGAGACAGACTGACCATACCATGAAAGACACCAAAACACACATCTTTTATTGACAATCTGTGTTACGTTCAAAATGAGGACTCAAATCAATAGAGTCGCTCCCCTTCACAAAAAAAAGATAATTTCAATATTACCCAACAGAAATGACAAAGTACTATTTACATTAAAATAAAAATGAAATATTTTCATTCAATGAATATAATCTAAAATTTGGAGTAACAAACAGTTTATTTCTCCTGAATCAAGTCTGAGCAAGATTCCCACTAAAAAATGCTTTAAGAGAAAACAAACAGGAAAACATAAAACATTTGAATCTGATAAAAAAAAAAACTTAGTATCCACACATTGTTAGTCTACTAACCTAACAGTGATGGCATATTCTGGTCTCTCCTCGATCTCCCTGAAGAGCTGAGAGATAGCCCGTGGTACAATACCCCGCTGTTTGTAGTTCTCTGTTGCACCAGTGATCGTGAATGTCTTTCCAGCGCCCGTCTGTCCATAGCACATCACCGTTCCTGTCAATGTTGTACTTCGTTATCAATATGTGAAATCACAACTAGTATATAAAAATGTATCTGCTAACTGTGTATCTGATTATGTAACAGACAGATTTAACCCTCAAAGTTTAGCTGTATTTCATAATTCTCCAAACATCAATGTATCAGTTCACATTAAACTAACTTAATGTTGAAAGTAAGAAAAAGAAAATTCACATGAGATAAAATGTTAAGTCTGTCACAGAATTTAAATTTCCTTTAATTAAAACACATGCCTGTATTTATCTGTAATCATCATTTGTTAATCAATCAGTACGATTCTGTCTTTATGTTGCTACTTTTGTAGTCTACATAATTGATGAACTGTTATAAAATTTCATATTAAGGTGATATTAAGGGATTGGAGGATGATACTTACTTCAACACTAAGTAATACTATACAAATTTACCATCAAAAGTTGACAGTAAATAGATGCAAACTAATATCTTTTTTCAGTCAAATATGGTGACTTCAGCCTTTTGCCTTAAAATTTGCCTTAAAAGGTTTACAACTATGGTACAAAACTTTGGTGACAAAAAATGATTTTTTTCCTCATTTGAAAAGTGATTATGAATCCCACAGTGCTTCCACGAAGACTGCCAGAAAATGTATATTATAGATATAACACATGATGGACAGTGAAAGAATTGTAAACAGATATTGTTTTTTTACTGTTGTATATAGAGCTATGAGACACACTCTTTTTTTACTATCAATGTCTTATCGAGACCTATCACATGTTTAACATGAAATCAATAAAAAAAAAAACACTTAGTATATTATGTAATATCACAGTAGTTGATCAGTGGTAATATCTTACCGTTGTAACCATCTAGTGCCGATGTAACAAGTTCAGAAGCCACATTTCCGTAAACATGATCCTGACTGGCATTATGAAATATACCATCCAGTCTAAACGACCAATCCAAAATCTGATTATTGACAACTCCTTTACGACCATCTTTTCTCATATGCACATTGATGCTCTGGAAAAGAGAAATATAATGATTGTAATCAGGGACATAATCATTTACATGATACATGTGTATTTCTTGTAATAACTTTATCATTCTATATAACCTCTATAGTATTACACATTAAAGATGTCCTTTTAATGTATCAGCTATAAATAGATATACCACAAATCTAACAACTCATTGTCATGTGATTCTAGATCTGGAGTAATATACAAATTAAGTTTTCAAATTTCAATATATCAAAGGAAATTAAATTTTTAATCTTCAGATTAATTTATCTGAGATGTATAATATGAAATGTTTCAGGATTGATTCTGTCACAAATGAAATGTATGTACTGTAATGTACATATGTGTCATCATCATGCTTCTAGAGACATTTAAAAGTAAACCACTAATATTAGTAAAGACTACAGAAAGTCACCTAACTGTTCAAACAAGTCAATTTTCCTGTAAAATTTTATCACTAAGATGGGCAATCTATTGTAACCAACAAGTCGTTGTGTCTAATCTTTGTTAAAATGGAACAGATATTCTTATAGCACTACCTGTTTCAAAATTATGCGTGATGTTTAGATGACTAATGTCACCTTCATCAAACAGGTGTGAAGTGTTATTGCATTGAAGTATCGATGTATGGTCAGCTGTAGTGTTATCTAAATTTGAATCAAGTATTCAATAACAAGGGATCTTCTCCAGATTAATGGTATGCCAATCTGTCCTTTTTTATTTCTATGCTTCAAATGATTATAGAGAGGACTTCAACACAAATTCTGTTACACTAATATCTTTAATGTTACATCCAAAGTCAATCAAGTAAGAATATGGAGATAATATTATAGAAAAAACAGGTTAATATGCCACCACATCTACCATATGCCTCACCTCTGTTTTATTTATCATTGTGATTGTACATGATCACTCTTTTAATAAAGCTGATGTACTATTTAGTCATGTAACAATATTGAATAAAACTTTAAGATTTTCCTTTGACAAGAACGATGTATTCTCCCAAAAGGAAGGTGGATATAACACATTTATCTAGATTCCTGTACTTACTTTAGAATCTGGGTTCAGCTCTAAACACTGGTGTGCAAATTCTGCAGTCGGTCGAATCCTTGCCCATACTTGTACTCTGTTACTTTTCCGTTGTCTTCTTTCATTACTCTCACGACTGAAGGCGCTCAGGCCTGTTACCCCCCTGCTGTACATCTTCACACTGACCTTAAAAAAACAAGAATTCTGTTGGATTTGGTTGTGCCATGATATATATGCAAGACAATGCACGATAACATTCTCTTACTTCACATATGTGTAACCAAACTCATCAACACTACCATCACTTCTAGGATCTTCCCAAACAACCTCAAATGAGTGCAACCATCTACAAGAAAAAAGATGGATGAGACAACAGTACTATCAGCCGGTCAGTATATTACCATCCATATTCAAATTTTACAAATAATTTTTGACCTACTCGGTACTTTTTTTACCTCATTTTGGATAATTTATCATGTGTTTTCAACAAAAAATATGAATGTCAAACTGTTATACTTAAAATTGTTAAAGATTGGAAACAAGAATTAGATGCTAGATAATGTGTAGCAACTATTCTAATGGATTCATCCAAAGCATTTGGCTTTCAACCACGTGAAATTCTTGTAAAATTATTTGCTTTTAGTAATTCAGAATTTGAACATCTTTCACATGAATTTTTAATTTAGGACTCCTCCACCAACTTGACCTCAGCATCATCAAAAAGAAAGAGTACCCCAAAGCTCAATATCATAACCACTATTATTTAAAATCTTCAGAAATTATATTTTCTTTACAACACATCAATGCAGTGAAGGCTCTATATTGATGCTAATGATGATACAGTATCCCACTCATCCATAAACCTAGAACACCTGCCATTTTAAACATGACATTTAACATCCCCTAAACTGTTTCAACATGAAAAAATGGAAGCAAATCCAGACAAATTCCAAGCATTAGGAATGAAGAAAAGAAACTGGTCAAAAAAGTATCTTTCCAAATTAATGACATTTCTATCCCTTTTGAAGAAAACATAAAAGTGTTAAGTTCTTTCAGTTATGCAGCAGATTGCCTTTGCAGTAATTTACCTGAAAATTTTAGAGTTACCACAAACTCCAAACACTTTCAATCTTTGATGTCTTTCTGGAACAGTAAATGTGCATTCTGCAAACAAAACAGCTACATCCCTCTCAAACTTTACTCGAAATCTCTGTCCACTTACTGCACAATAACCATTTATCTTTCTGCTTTTAGCCATAATAATTCTTTATCCAATATACACTTTTGACACACATCTATATCTCCAACTTTTTTCCACAAAACAGTCACCACTATATTTATGTATGTTTGAGTTATTGTAACTGTTTTTTAAAGTTACTGTACCTGTTTGTTCTATGATGTTTGTATGTATATGATGGTTTTAATATTACTTTGTTTTTTTAGGTCTTTCGACTTTCAATAAAAGTTATCTAATCTTATCTTACAGGAATACCGCTATCCCTGTATGGAGTCAAACTAATAAGATTGTCATTGTCTAATAATTGCCAGTCATCAACCTAGCAGGCTATCCAAATCACTGTAAATTGGGCTACAGCATAAATTATGCACACAAAGATGTGTGAAGATCTCATCTTGGTTGGTCCTGACCTATGACAAGTTTTATGTCACACGTGGATGTCCAATGGGAGCCAGGGTCAGCTAATCAGGCCTTACCATTTACTTTACAGTCAATTAATGATAAATAAGTGATTATAATGAAAAAATATCACTTAAAAAAATAGTTGCACATGAAGATAAAATCTGCCTAAAGGTCTGGTTGCTCACTACAATTTATATATGTATGTGATAATCTGATATGGTAGGCCCCTTGCCAGTCCAGATAGACTGTTAATTTGAACATGAGATTTTTTTTCAATATAAACAATGATTTTCTGTTAAGTGATAGTTTTAACCTTTCTTTTCCTGTTTCACTTACAGTTTGAATTATCTGAACACATTATGGTAATTGTATCATAAGCATATGTAACTATTTATAGAAATATTGGTGTCACAATAATTACTCCATGTGCTCACTTTGAATATTGCAGTAAAAGCTCTGAGTATGTAGATGTAATAACCAATGTACATTAAGCAACTGTCAATGTTCCTTTTAAGCAGTAGCACCACACACTTATTATGAATAACAGCATCTATGCAAAATGATGAACACTTTGAGCAGTAGGGCATTCAGGTTTTATACTTTGAAAAAATGTCTGGTAAAAATGGTTATCATCTAGTACACCAAGCAATTCTTTTAGAGAACATTAAATTCACTCGAAGTTACTGGGAATTCATTCATTTATTACCCACGTAAGCTGCAAAAATAGATAGCTCTTAGATTATCAGTACAATAGCTCAGATAATGCCAATCATGTTTACAATTACTTCCCATAGTATTCGGATAAATGTTAGTTATTCTTACAATTAAAACTGTGATATACATATATCGTTGTTTTGTTATTTGATAATGTACAAGTAACATCAATGGGCTTTTGCTGAATATATCATCTAGTTCACTTTTTGTTGTTACCCTTGTTTCGGCCTACCGTGTCCGGTAGCACAGCCGCATTCCGTCATGGTTATGGAAACACGGATAAATTTATGTGATAAATTTCTAGACATATAACTAAACATCAGTAACCATGTCGTCTACTGTTTTAATCATGAGATATCTAATGGTCATAACTGAAATGCAACCAGGAATGTAGTGTCCATTGTTGAAGACACTCTTTGATTAAGATGTCGAATTCCTCGACCTCGGTGTCGCCGAATAAAATTGCAGAGTATCTCCGAATTAACAGTCGTTTTAAACGTCTGTCAAATATGTGTTCCTGTTATCTATTAAATGTTAACTATCTATAATGTATATTTCAAGAGTGTCTGCGATTTACTTACCGAAGTCGTGTGCTCTTAGCTCCCGTAAAAATAGAGGTAATTTTGTTGACAGGTTGTTAGGACAAGTGACGCATGCGCAAGCGGAAGAACAAATATCTCGTCGGTCTCGAGAGTTGCCATACTGTGGACCGTCGGCAGAATAAACAAGCGTAGTGCGATTATTTTATCGAAGGTTCTGAGAGCGGTTCCGCCAATAAAATTCCTGAAATATGCTTTTATTCGACGATTAGCGTATATCAATAGATTTATTTACACGTGTACATTTTTGCGAACTTAAGATACCACTCATTAACAATGATCATAGTGATGATCCACTGACTGGCGTATTTGTTGCACGATACGACACCGGATAGGAGGTGACCTAACGAAGCCAGAGGTCACTAAACACGTATATTATTATATTGGTATTTGGCTAGCGTAGTAATATACAGTGTTATCATACCCGTTGGTATAAATTGGTTACACTATGTTCTAATTATATTTGATTATTGTCTTTTAACAGTGAAAGAAAAGCCAAGATGTGACATGACTGCAAAGATATATATATTTTCCTGAATAAAATGCAGGAAGAAACGATGTATTTTCGTATTATGTTGGAATACGAACCACTTTTTTTAATTGTGCCGGTTGCTCATGACAACAGCCACAAATTACACGGGATATTGGGAGGGATGACTTGTCCGTCAATTGACGTTCCAACACGATGTACAAGATGTTTGTTCAACTCAGTTAAAGAAACGTGGCTTAAAAGAAGCTGAAAATATATGGTTGTCATACTATTCATAAGTGTGTATGTAAAAAAAATGCCGACATATTTAACATTTAATCCAGTCACAAATTTAATAAAGGGCAAAATATGAACAAAATAAGAATATATAATGAAATTTGTCTCCTATTTACTCACTATAGAAATTGAAAATTCTATCTTCTTGTGGAATGACATTCTAAAATTCTAAAATAATTTTCAAAAAATGAATTCTCTCGACAACAACTACTTTTTTTAATATCATTATAGATCTACGTTATTTTTGAACTCGTTATGAACTCTGTGTTGTACAAGTTGCTTCAGATAATTTTTATTCACCACAGAGCTCTACATTTTCTAATAAAGACCAACTATGTTTTAATCTGGTATATGTCAGAATGCCTTAAAAAAAACTTGTCCCTTTTAAAATAACCAACGTGCCCCGCCCCTTTTCTGTAGTTGCATGATACATTTACTTAAGCACAAGTGTGGATAATTAAGTATTGTTTTGTGTTAACTAAGTTTTGCAAAAAAAAACCCACCTTTCTTACTTTTATTAGAACAATTAGGGCAGGTATGGCCAATTTGATAAAAAAAAATACTTTTAATTTCTGGTGATAAAAACATATTGTAGGGAAAAAATACATCACTCATTTCCAACAAATGATTGGTATGAAACCGACCTGAATGATAACATAGCCTCGTCACTAGGACGAGACGAAAAATTGACCCGTTTGGTAAAGATAGATATAAAGACATGAACTTTGTGACCTCAAAACTCAGATAATTCCAAAGAACCGGCTAGCAGATAGCACTTTGTATACTGAAAGTCGTGGACGTATTCTGTGTACAATCATGACTTCTGTATTTGCAGTGTTACTGGTAATGCATGGCTTGTTTGTGTCAGTACAGGGATCAGGATTTACATGGTCTTCATGTAGTAAGTACACATCATCAATCAACTTTTAAAATTAAAACTGCTCGCAAAATAATCGATTTTTTAAAATTCACTTGGCCATCTTGTGGCAACCTTTCAAAGGCATATGTACCACCACTTACCAAAAATAGTAATTATCGAAATCACATGATCACCTTGTTGTTACGGTAAATAACCACACCAGACTTTTAGTTTACCACTGCATCACAAAATTATTGAAAATTCACTTGGCCATCTTGTGGCAACCTTTCAAAGGCATATGTACCACCACTTACCAAAAATAGTAATTATCGAAATCACATGATCACCTTGTTGTTACGGTAAATAACCACACCAGACTTTTAGTTTACCACTGCATCACAAAATTATTACAAAGATGTATATGATAATACTGAAAATTACATATTTATGATTTCAATTTACGTATATTTTATAATGACGAAATCGAACACACGCGCAAAATGTTCACGTTTTACTTTAGTATTACGGAGTTATCCCCTTCCCATTGTTTGACGAAACATTTGTCATCCTAAGTGGGTATAAACAGTAACCGTGATTTTTTCATAAGTATCAACATTGATATTTTTTTTAGTATTAAAACAAACATAAATCTGTAGTTATCTCCCCTTTCAATTGTTTGACGATAATATAATGCATCTTAATAGCGTTCACCGTTATATTAGCGTGTTGGAAAGTTAGTATACTTGATAGTTAGAGGCATAAATTTAGAGATTTATAAATAATATTGCTTTTATTTCACAATGAAGTTGTCAAAATAATCGTTTTGTTAAGAAGGTTCATGTGGAAGTTTCAACATAACTAATTCTCATCTAAAAATAAATAGTTATATATATTTGTAACGAAGAAATGTTAAATTTACTGATCAGAGGCATACATTTTGGAATTTTTATCTACAAAACAAAATATCGATATATTTTTTCTGAAATGCCGCTATACAGTCTTTAGTAAAAAAAACTCGTTCACATGGAGCGAAAAATCTGCGCATGCGCGACGCGCCATGCCCTGAATAGCTGCATTATGACACGTAACCGTTTTGAAGTACGAAGTTGTATCAATGCAGATTAAGGTGTTCAATAAAACGCCTCGTTTTTGTGAATATAGTTCCGTTTTCAAAGGAGTCACTTTGCAGAAATTTGAATGTCCACTTATCTGGTGTAGAGTGGGTCTCATGATAAAAAAACAGTGTTTATGGAATACTGTGCCATCGGTTGCAACACAATTCTGAAGTGGGACATTAAAACTGCACGTGTAAGACATGTGCTACTTACAAGTACACTTTGTGAAACACTTATGTCCTCATTGTTCAATGGTTAAGATCAAAGTTTAAAATTTTTCAAAAGTATGTCAAAGGCCACGGTCAAGATCACAGTCAAACATTTGGTACCATCAGAAAGGTTTTGTCACAGGGAACGCATGTCAAATATGTAAGCCCTACCTCTTACGGTGTGACTTGGTCAAGGGTCAAGTTGACCAGACAAACAAACAATATGCCTCTGAGCTTTCGATCAAGGGGCATAAAAAGACCAATCACAAACTGATGATTACGAAGTAGCGGCTTACAAATTCAAAGCTAGTGATTCGATTGCTGTACATCAAAGGAACAAATTAGTCTTCTCCACAAGGAACTTTCCAACCTTCGAAGAAAAATTCGACTTTCAACTTGACAAGACCATATATATATTTCGTATTACGACAATTTTACAAAATAACACATATTTTATGTACATCTAACTATTGAGTAATGTGGTAATACTGACTTCTTCACGATTTGTCAGATTCCAACCCGGTCATAGTCATGGAAACTATAGTGGTGACACCTGACCCCGTTGAATTGCCAGGCACGCTCAAATTGACACTGCGTGGGAACACGACAAGACCAATCAACAGCGCTAAACTGTCAATTACCCTGCATCGTGATACGTTTCTTCTCAGTGTCCCCATTCCGTGTCTGTTACACTTAGGATCATGGTATGGTTTAAATAAGTATCGTTATATAGATGTACACCTGTCATTATCATATTCCCTGCGGCCATCATGTTACAGTCGTCTTTGTTCAACATGTACATTGCACAATGATCCATAGCGAATCATGAATTTTGCTCTTCATATTCTTTAGATTAGGGTATGTTTCGGGGTAGTTTGGGGTAGGTTAAGGGATGTTTCTGGTAGTTTTTGTGTAGGTAAGAGTACAATTTAGGTTGTTTTGGATAGTTTTGTTCCCTTTACCTCTTGTTGTACGTAATTAGAAGATAATGAAGGGGATAGTGGGCGTCCAGATCCCTCTAAGGACTTTGTTTCACATTCAGCGTGTCCACGGTGACTTGACTTCACTGTAGTAACTTGGAAGACGAAAGTCAAGATAATCGTTCCATTTATACTAGTATTACGTTTTTGGAAATGTGTAACTAACTTCTGTTGAAACTGAATTAAAAGTTCCATAGTTCCTAAATATAATGGAAATGGAAACAAAAGCTGTTCGAGAACTTTCTATGAAATTTATAGAAAAATGTGTTAAAATCTTAATGGGACTTTGCTGTATAACACGAAGGGTCACTCTCTGGTCACTGGGATCAAGGGTCAATCTTCGTCCAACTTATCAGCATTATCCCTGAAGGTCAAGGGTTATGGTATAAACTTCATTCTAAGGTCACTGGGGTCAAGGGTCAATCATCGTCCAACTTATCAGTATTATCCCTGAAGGTCCAGGGTCATGGTATAAACCTCATTCTAAGGTTACTGGGGTCAAAGGTCAATCTTCGTTCAACTTATCAGTATTATCCCTGAAGGTCCAGGGTCATGGTATAAACTTCATTCTAAGGTCACTGGTGTCAAGGGTCAATCTTCTTCCAACTTATCAGTATTATCCCTGAAGGTCAAGGGTCATGATATTAAGGCAGCAGTAAGCAGAGTAAATCATCTTCAAATATGTTGACCTACTTTTTCATCGATTGTGTTCAAATACCAAAACAATTTGTCTATAGTCAAAAAGCCCAGGGTCTTATTTTTCAGCCAGTGTGAATGTAAATAGTTATCAAGATTGCCCAGTTAGCCCTTTTGACAAAATCCCTTTTTTAGACTAAATAATAGATGAGTGATAAAGAAGACTTCTTGTTTATTTTCTGTTGCATATTAAAAACTGCATTTTAAACTAGAAAATGTCTCGGATATACCAACTTCTATGTACCTGGTAGGTATCATTTTTCGAAAAAGTTGCAGACACATGATCTTTTACTTGCTACATCTTGACTGAAGACCTTGTTGATGTAATATCAGGTGTGGACCTGGGTGTTACGATACAAGGAGGTATAATACGAACCAACCTTGTTGAACTGTTCTCAACATATGACTTTGATTCTGTACAGGATGCAATGATACACAAAAGAATTAACAGACAATGGCTAGCACTAAATGCCAACCATAAACACGGTAAGGGCATGAATATAGGTTTTATGATGGCACCAGTTCATGCTGACTGGACTTATACTATGAATGACTGTATGACTGTACACTGTAGATCCTCAATGACTCCTTGTTGTTCCCCTGATTCAACACTTCGAGTCTCAAACAGGAACATTGTAACCCATTTCTTGTTGCCACTTTGTTGTATTAAAATAGAAGAATGAAATCACCTGGAACAACTTGATTTTCAGTGAATACACTGATCTCTGCACACTTTTGGATACCATGATCTCTGAAAACTGGGCGACGATTACAACAGACCTTGGTACACAGGTGAAAACCATGCTTTCATCAGCTGGCATCAGCTTCAACCCAGGTCTATGTCCACTTCCAGTCTCGCAGCTTGATCTCAACAAATACCCTCTCAATCTCCCATCAGTTCCATCAGTTCTCAGCTGGCTAGCATCAGTAAGTAAAATATCTCTTGTGCTAATTGGTGTCATTAAGTACATTACCGCTCCTGATTACAAGTGTCAGTACATGTAGTTTAATGGGTAACCTCTGAAGCTTTTAGACAATGATCAAACCTTCATCCATCAGGGTCAGAAAGTAAATGTACTTGTGACTTCATGGGCAACAATCGAGAAGTACACTGTGTGATATAATAGGCTAGGGTTAATTAGTAAATTATGTGGGGTAGGGTAACTAAGTACACTGTGTGATATAATAGGCTAGGGTTAATTAGTAAACTATGTGGGGTAGGGTAAGTAAGTACACTGTGTGATATAATAGGCTAGGGTTAATTAGTAAACTATGTGGGGTAGGGTAACTAAGTGCACTGTGTGATATAATAGGCTAGGGTTAATTAGTAAACTATGTGGGGTAGGGTAACTAAGTGCACTGTGTGATATAATAGGCTAGGGTTAATTAGTAAACTATGTGGGGTAGGGTAATTAAGTGCACTGTGTGATATAATAGGCTAGGGTTAATTAGTAAACTATGTGGGGTAGGGTAACTAAGTGCACTGTGTGATATAATAGGCTAGGGTTAATTAGTAAACTATGTGGGGTAGGGTAACTAAGTGCACTGTGTGATATAATAGGCTAGGGTTAATTAGTAAACTATGTGGGGTAGGGTAACTAAGTGCACTGTGTGATATAATAGGCTAGGGTTAATTAGTAAACTATGTGGGGTAGGGTAACTAAGTGCACTGTGTGATATAATAGGCTAGGGTTAATTAGTAAACTATGTGGGGTAGGGTAACTAAGTGCACAGTGTGATATAATAGGCTAGGGTTAATTAGTAAACTATGTGGGGTAGGGTAAGTAAGTACACTGTGTGATATAATAGGCTAGGGTTAATTAGTAAACTATTTGGGGTAGGGTAAGCAAGTACACTGTGTGATATAATAGGCTAGGGTTAATTAGTATACTATGTGGGGTAGGGTAAGTAAGTGCACTGTGTGATGTGATGAGCTAGGGTGAGTAAATTCACTGATGTGTTAGGCTAGAGTCAGTAACATCATGGGGTAGGGTCAGTGAGTACACAGTGTTATCATAGGCCAGGGTACAAAACACACTACAAGATGTCAGTGACTATATAAACTGTACATTCTCCCGTAATACCATCCTACAGTGACAGTGTTCTCCCTTCTATATCACATTCTCCCTTAATACCATCCTACAGTGACAGTGTTTCTCCCTTCTATATCACATTCTCCCTTAATACCATCCTACAGTGACAGTGTTTCTCCCTTCTATATCACATTCTCCCGTAATACCATCCTACAGTGACAGTGTTTCTCCCTTCTATATCACATTCTCCCGTAATACCATCCTACAGTGACAGTGTTCTCCCTTCTATATCACATTCTCCCGTAATACCATCCTACAGTGACAGTGTTCTCCCTTCTATATCACATTCTCCCGTAATACCATCCTACAGTGACAGTGTTCTCCCTTCTATATCACATTCTCCCGTAATACCATCCTACAGTGACAGTGTTCTCCCTTCTATATCACATTCTCCCGTAATACCATCCTACAGTGACAGTGTTTCTCCCTTCTATATCACATTCTCCCGTAATACCATCCTACAGTGACAGTGTTCTCCCTTCTATATCACATTCTCCCGTAATACCATCCTACAGTGACAGTGTTTCTCCCTTCTATATCACATTCTCCCGTAATACCATCCTACAGTGACAGTGTTCTCCCTTCTATATCACATTCTCCCGTAATACCATCCTACAGTGACAGTGTTTCTCCTTTCTATATCACATTCTCCCGTAATACCATCCTACAGTGACAGTGTTTCTCCTTTCTATATCATGAGCGTTTTATGATTGTTTTTATAGGGTGACTACACAATAAAGGTAGAAGTTGTCGACTCAACCAACAATGAAAACTTGATGTGTCTGAATCTAGGAATCACCCTGACAAAAGCATCAGAATGTACGGGATGGCTGTGTGGCCGAAGGAAAAGGGACATTCTCAAAAACAAAAACTAACTTCACGATACATCAAAAGCTACTTTAGCTTGTTTTTAATTGTAGCTGACATAGCATAAACCTTTTATTCTGATTTAAATAAAATGAAGTTATGCATTTTGAAACAGATCTCAGATGTTTATAGGTGATGGGAAACAGTCTTATTTCACCAGGTATATATCATGAACATCATCATAGATAATTGATCCTCTTTCACTTCATGGAAGTCTGTCTACATTGTCATGCACTATCTGTTTCTATTTGGATGTTACTATGGTCACATCCTTGGTCACCTACAGCATTGCTAAAACCCTTAGATATCATCTATAGTACTGTTCAAAAAGACTTAGTGTTCATGTGTTGTTACTCCTCAAGGTTTTACCATATTCATGTCCTTAGACACCAGGAAACACCTCTTAGACTAGTACTGTTTGTTACTCCTCAAGGTTTTACCATATTCATGTCCTTAGACACCAGGAAACACCTCTTAGACTAGTACTGTTTGTTACTCCTCAAGGTTTTACCATATTCATGTCCTTAGACACCAGGAAACACCTCTTAGACTAGTACTGTTTGTTACTCCTCAAGGTTTTACCATATTCATGTCCTTAGACACCAGGAAACACCTCTTAGACTAGTACTGTTTGTTACTCCTCAAGGTTTTACCATATTCATGTCCTTAGACACCAGGAAACACCTCTTAGACTAGTACTGTTTGTTACTCCTCAAGGTTTTACCATATTCATGTCCTTAGACACCAGGAAACACCTCTTAGACTAGTACTGTTTGTTACTCCTCAAGGTTTTACCATATTCATGTCCTTAGACACCAGGAAACACCTCTTAGACTAGTACTGTTTGTTACTCCTCAAGGTTTTACCATATTCATGTCCTTAGACACCAGGAAACACCTCTTAGACTAGTACTGTTTGTTACTCCTCAAGGTTTTACCATATTCATGTCCTTAGACACCAGGAAACACCTCTTAGACTAGTACTGTTTGTTACTCCTCAAGGTTTTACCATATTCATGTCCTTAGACACCAGGAAACACCTCTTAGACTAGTACTGTTTGTTACTCCTCAAGGTTTTACCATATTCATGTCCTTAGACACCAGGAAACACCTCTTAGACTAGTACTGTTTGTTACTCCTCAAGGTTTTACCATATTCATGTCCTTAGACACCAGGAAACACCTCTTAGACTAGAACTGTTTGTTAATCCTCAAGGTTTATCATATTCATGTCCTTAGACACCAGGAAACATTTCTTAGCCTCCTAGTATTCCTTAGTCCTTGTAAATTACTAAGTTTATGTCTATTGCTGCTAATCATTCTGAAATTGGTGTCTTCTTTACATACAGGTGAGGTAGGTTTACACCTGTATGTCATTAAATCACAGCTTGTACTTGGTCTGGTCATCCTTAATCACTCCAGTATTCCTTCTCATCAGGACTTTATTCCCAATAACTTGGAATTCTTTTTATCTGTTCATCACATGTATCTCGCCTCAGTCTTTAGCCTTCGCTGATCTTGCAAATTGCTGGACACAGAGTTAAGAAACTTTTTTAATGGGTGAAGTTATTTACAAAATGTTTTGCCATATAAGGTATTAATGAATTATAGTTTTGATAACCAAGAATTTGATTCAGATGTTAATTTAATACCATAATTGTATGTAATATAATTATCTTAATAACCTCAGATTTTCACTGAAAGTCTTTGAACAAAACTTTCCTATTTTAAGCGTGCAATTATTTAATTTCTTTGCAAGTAGATATATTAAACATCATTATTAAGTATACTGGTAACTTTTCACCTGCTGTTTAACATTAATGAGTGCATTCATAAATTGCTGCTGATGGATTCAACATACTTATAGGCCAAAGTTTACACTACATTAGTGCCCCCTCCTCCCCATATACACTACATTAGTGCCCCCTCCTCCCCATATACACTACATTAGCGCGCCTTCCTCCCCATATACACTACATTAGCGCCCCTCCTCCTCATATACACTACATTAGTGCCCCCTCCTCCCCATATACACTACATTAGCACCCCTTCCTCCCCATATACACTACATTAGCACCCCCTCCTCCCCATATACACTAAATTAGTGCCCCCTCCTCCCCATATGCACTACATTAGTGTCCCCTCCTCCCCATATACAATACATTAGTGTCCCCTCCTCCCCATATACAATACATTAGTGCCTCCTCCTCCCCATATACATTACATCAGTGCCCCCTCCTCCCCATATACACTACATTAGCATCCACTCCTCCCCATATAAACTACATCAGTGCCCCCTCCTCCCCATATACAATATATTATTAGTGTCCCCTCCTCCCCATATACAATACATTAGTGTTCCCTCCTCCCCATATACACTACAGCAGTGCCCCCTCCTCCCCATATACACTACATTAGTGTCCCCTCCTCCCCATATACAATACATTAGTGTCCCCTTCTCCCCATATGCACTATATTAGTGTCCCCTTCTCCCCATATACAATACATTAGTGTCCCCTTCTTCTCATATGCACTACATTAGCGCCCCCTCCTCCCCATAAACATTATATTAGTGTCCCCTTCTCCCCATATGCACTACATTAGCGCCCCCTCCTCCCCATATGCACTATATTACCACATGAATTCCTGTCTACAGACAGAGATATTTGTTGGAAACGATTCCAGTATGTCCCCTCCTCCCCATATACAATACATTAACGTCCCCTCCTCCCCATATACAATACATTAGCGCCCCCTCCTCCTCATATGCACTACATTACCACATGATATCCTGTCTACAGACAGAAATATATGTTGGAGACAATTCCAGTACGTCCCCTCCTCCCCATCAACACCATATTAACATGAAATCCTGTCTACAGACAGATATATTTGTTGGAGATGATTCCAGTATGTCCCCTCCTCCCCATATACAATACATTAGCGTCCCCTCCTCCCCATATACAATACATTAGCGTCCCCTCCTCCCCATATACAATACATTAGCGCCCCCTCCTCCTCATATGCACTTTATTACCACATGAAATCCTGTCTTCAGACAGAGATATTTGTTGGAGACAATTCCAGTATGTCCCCTCCTCCCCATCAACACCATATTAACATGAAATCCTGTCTACAGACAGATATATTTGTTGGAGACGATTCCAGTATGTCCCCTCCTCCCCATATACAATACATTAGCGTCCCCTCCTCCCCATATACAATACATTAGCGCCCCCTCCTCCTCATATGCACTTTATTACCACATGAAATCCTGTCTACAGACAGAGATATTTGTTGGAGACAATTCCAGTACGTCCCCTCCTCCCCCTCAACACCATATTAACATGAAATCCTGTCTACAGACAGATATATTTGTTGGAGACGATTCCAGTATGTCCCCTCCTCCCCATATACAATACATTAGCGTCCCCTCCTCCCCATATACAATACATTAGCGCCCCCTCCTCCTCATATGCACTTTATTACCACATGAAATCCTGTCTACAGACAGATATATTTGTTGGAGACGATTCCAGTATGTCCCCTCCTCCCCATCAACACCATATTAACATGAAATCCTGTCTACAGACAGATATATTTGTTGGAGACGATTCCAGTACGTCCCCTCCTCCCCCTCAACACCATATTAACATGAAATCCTGTCTACAGACAGATATATTTGTTGGAGACGATTCCAGTATGTCCCCTCCTCCCCATCAACACCATATTAACATGAAATCCTGTCTACAGACAGATATATTTGTTGGAGACGATTCCAGTACGTCCCCTCCTCCCCCTCAACACCATATTAACATGAAATCCTGTCTACAGACAGATATATTTGTTGGAGACAATTCCAGTACGTCCCCTCCTCCCCATCAACACCATATTAACATGAAATCCTGTCTACAGACAGAGATATTTGTTGGAGTACGTCCCCTCCTCCCCATCAACACCATATTAACATGAAATCCTGTCTACAGACAGATACGTTGGAGACCCAGTATGTCCCCTCCTCCCCATCAACACCATATTAACATGAAATCCTGTCTACAGACAGATATATTTGTTGGAGACGAAATTCTACAGACAGATATGTCCCCTCCTCTCCCCTCAACACCATATTAACATGAAATCCTGTCTACAGACAGATATATTTGTTGGAGACGAAATTCCAGATATAGTATGTCCCCTCCTCAACACCCCTCAACACCATATTAACATGAAATCCTGTCTACAGACAGATATATTTGTTGGAGACAATTCCAGTATGTCCCCTCCTCCCCATCAACACCATATTAACATGAAATCCTGTCTACAGACAGATATATTTGTTGGAGACAATTCCAGTATGTCCCCTCCTCCCCATCAACACCATATTAACATGAAATCCTGTCTACAGACAGATATATTTGTTGGAGACAATTCCAGTATGTCCCCTCCTCCCCATCAACACCATATTAACATGAAATCCTGTCTACAGACAGATATATTTGTTGGAGACAATTCCAGTACGTCCCCTCCTCCCCATCAACACCATATTAACATGAAATCCTGTCTACAGACAGATATATTTGTTGGAGACGATTCCAGTATGTCCCCTCCTCCCCACATATATACTTATTTCATTGCTGAGGTGATAAATCATTCAAATGACTTTGACCTATACACTGAAAGATAATTTTGTAAAATATAATATTTAGCCATGTTCACAGATGACTCAAACGCAGAAGAAATCTTTGTTGCTATACACAATACCTTGTTTTAATCACCAGCAGCTACTATTTATAACCACAAAGGATACAACCACCATGGGTTTAGTGTTGATAACGTAACCATTGGTGTCTGTAAGTGCACGACTCGCTGCCTCTTCTGTGGGAAATGTCACAAATGCTTGACCCTTCATACGACCTTCCTTCATAAGTCTTACATCAAACCTGTAGATCCAAATTATTGTAACATAATGTACACAGATATCCTCATGAGCTAGAAATAGTACTGAACAATCAATGTGTTCTAACAGTAACTGACAATTAAAAGAGAGATTTTTACCTGTGACTTTTTTTTGAGACTGAAGATTATTGATGGTCTGATCCTACATTTCATTTAACATGGTAGAGTCTGTATCACTATCAATCACACCAGAATTTTAGTTTACGAGAAGGAGGAGGGTTAATTCAGGCCAAAGAAGAGTATGTTCCATAGAAGAGGATGGTGAAAAGGAGGAGGAGGAGGAGGATTAATTTCGTTTCTACAAAATGGTATTCAAATTGTATACATAAAATTTAAATTTCAGATAAAAGTTTAAATGCTTGGGGTTACTGATTGTTATTATGATATGTACGATATTCACTTACATGTTTTTATGAAGTTCTGAATGCCAGTTTATGTACTGTCCGTAGAGATTGACAATATCCTGAAAAACAAGTAAAAGGTTAGAATAAATCCTACATAGAGTAAACAAGCAAAAGGTTGGAATAAATCCTACATACAGTAAACAAGCAAAAGGTTGGAATAAATCCTACATACAGAAAACAAGCAAAAGGTTGGAATAAATCCTACATTCAAAATAACACTACACCCTTTATTTATTAGTCTTATTGTATAAAGTCTCCCACCTCAGAGAGTGGGAAGTGGTTTGCTTACATACAAAATACAAACATAACATGTAAGATTAACCTGAGTGTATATTTTTTGTTTACAATTAAACAGAAGAATGAGAGTAATACAGAAGTAATGAAAATAAAATTTCCATTCTAACAGTTAAGATTTTAGATGATTAATTGCCAAGACAGAAAGAAAAGTCCATTTAATGTTTACATCTATAATGTATATATAATGAATGTCTGCACAATAAGGTTGGTCAAATGAGGCATTTTATAAACAAAACATTTTAAATTACGAGTGTAATTAACCTGTTCTGTCATTGACTTCATGAAGTTAATTATGCTATTTGGGTTAATGAGTTAATATTGAGTCACCTTGCCCCACTTGTATAAAACATCTCAACTTGAGATTTCCTTCAGTCGAGATTTTCCTCAGCTGATATCTCCTCAAATACGGATTGTGTAAAATTTTCTCAAGGAACAGGAGGAAGTCATCGGCTAGGATGTCCTGAAATTCCTTGAGGAATTTTCATGCAAGATATTTCCAAGGAGATAGTAGCTGAGGAAAATCTGGGCTTGAGGAAATCTCAAGTTGAGATGTTTTATACAAGTGCGGCCTTGACAAAATGAGTTAATATTGAGTCACCTTGACAACACCTATGAGTTAATATTGAATCTCCTGGACGATACCTTTGAATTAATACTGAGTCTCCTTGATGAAACCTACGAGTTAAAATTGAGTCTCCTCGATGACACATATGAGTTAATATTGAGTCTCCTTGATGATACCTTCAAGTTAATATTGAGTCACCTTCACAACACCTACGAGTTAATATTGAGTCTCCTTGATGATACCAATGAGTTAATATTGAGTCTCCTTGATGATACCTTTGAGTTAATATTGAGTCACATTGACAACACCTATGTGTTAATACTGAGTCTCCTGGACAATAACTATGAGTTAATATTGAGTCTCCTTGATGATACCTATGAGTTAATATTGAGTCTCCTTGATGATACCTATGAGTTAATATTGAGTCTCCTGGACAATACTTTAGTAGTTAATATTGAGTCTCCTTGACGATACCTATGAGTTAATATTGAGTCTCCTGGACGATACCTATGAGTAAATATTGAGTCTCCTTGATGATACCTATGAGTTAATATTGAGTCTCCTGGATTATACCTATAAATTAAAATTGTGTCTCCATGACAATACCTGTTCTGTCGTGTGCTTCGCCAGATTTTTTATGTAAAGTCTTGTTGTTGGCTCACCAGCATCATATCGCTTAAACACCGAGAAGTTCTTCATCTCTGAAAAAAACAAAATTGAATAAAAAAAAACCCATTTATGACATAATTACTTTCCTGTCATCTTGACAACATCCTGTAATTACTTTGTTGGAACATCTTGTACATAATTACGTTGTTGTTATATACTGTACATAATTACGTAGTTATAACATACTGTACATAATTACGTTGTAACATACTGTACATAATTAGATTGTTGTTATATACTGTACATAATTACATTGTTGTTATATACTGTACATAATTACGTTGTTATAACATACTGTACATAATTACATTGTTGTTATATACTGTACATAATTATGCAGTTGTCACATCCTGTACATAATTACCTTGTTGGAATATCCTGTACATAATTACGTTGTAACATACTGTACATAACTACATTGTTGTTATATACTGTACATAATTACATTGTTGTCACATCCTGTAAATAATTACGTTGTTGTTATATACTGTACATAATTACGTAGTTATAACATACTGTACATTATTATGTTGTTGTAGCATCCTGTACATAATTACCTTGTTGGAATATCCTGTACATAATTACGTTGTTATAACATACTGTACATAATTACATTGTTGTTATATACTGTACATAATAACATTGTTGTCACATCCTGTACATAATTACATTTTTGTTATATACTGTAAATAATTACATTGTTGTCACATCCTGTACATAATTACATTTTTGTTATATACTGTACATAATTACGTTGTTATAACATACTGTACATAATTACATTGTTGTTATATACTGTACATAATTATGTTGTTGTAACATACTTTACAAAATTACTTTGTTATATACTGTACATAATTACATTGTTGTCACATTCTGTAAATAATTACATTGTTGTCACATCCTGTACATAATTACGTTGTTGTTATATACTGTACATAATTACGTTGTTGTTATATACTGTACATAATTACATTGTTGTAACATACTTCACAAAATTACTTTGTTATATACTGTACATAATTACGTTGTTGTCACATCCTGTAAATAATTACGTTGTTGTAATATACTGTACATAATTACGTTGTTGTAACATATTGTACATAGTTATATTGTTGTAACATACTGTACATAATTACATTGTTGTTATATACTGTACATAATTACGTTTACATAATTACGTGGTGTCACATCCTGTACATAATTACATTGTTGTCACATCCTGTACATAATTACATTGTTGTTATATACTGTACATAATTACGTTGTTGTCACATACTGTACATAATTACGTTTACATAATTACATGGTGTCACATCCTATACAGAATTACGTTGTTGTCACATCCTGTACATAATTACGTTGTTGTAATACACTATACATAATTACGTTGTTGTCACATCCTGTACATAATTACGTTGTTGACACATCCTGTACATAATTACGTTTTTGTCACATCCTGTACAGAATTACGTTGTTGTCACATCCTGTACATAATTACGTTGTTGTCACATCCTGTACATGATTCCTGTTGTCAGCAAAAAATCTTTCCTTTGTGCAATTTGTTTTCCAGAAAAATTACTATAAGCTGTAGACCTTGTCATAAACATGTGCATCAATCAGAAATTGATGGAAGATTCTTCTCAGTTTCAATCTATTCCTACGATACACCATCTTAACAACAAGAATACATTTATTAATACTCCCTAATGATTTCAGTTTTTCTTTTGTGTACCTGTACAACCCTACCATGAATCATATATACCGACCTGTAGTGGAGATTCGACCATTGTGGAGTTGTTCAGTGGTTAGGAAGAGACTTGGGTCTACTGTATAAGGAAGGCTTGAGTCCTTTAGTTCTATAGCTTCAATTGGCTGAAACAGTGTAGAATTGAATCACTGACACAGATTTAAAGATAGACATCTAAGAGTCTCTGATTAATAAGTTTAGTAATTATACATTGGGTGAAAGAGATCTTTGATGTTTCCATGTTGAAGGGACTACAAAGAAATCTTCTGATACATCTACACTTTAAATCATTCGTGGTGGGTTATATTGGTGTTTTAATGTCTGTGGCTATACATTGTTAATGACACAATATTTCTACCTCTACAAATACAATAAATACCAAAACACAAGATTAAATGAAAAGATGCATTTTTATCTTTAAATGAATTATTTTCATTCATGAAAAAAAATATAACTTTAAACAGAAATTGACAAAAATTGTTCCATCATGTCACACAATATATGCATTTTACGGGTTGATTTTAAATGCAACAATACAAAGCATTAAAGTGGTCTTCAAGTGATACAGTAATCAGTTTTAGGCTGGTACATAAACGTTATAGGCACTAATGCATTTGAAAGAAAGCAAATTATAATATATTCTGTCCAGAAACAGCAGTACTAACATCAGACATACTTGGTCGAAGAAAAGTGTTTGTCGATGTTCTGACGATGGTTAGACTGAATCAATTGAACAACATAAGATTGATAAATAAACCATTGTGTTTCTCACGCTTTTATGCTTAAATCTAAAAAGTGACAGTTTGGGAATGAGTGAAATCATCAAACAAGTGATAAGATTCCCTCCGATTGTTTTCAAAATTCTGTAAATAAGACCTTACTAGCTACATGCCATTACCACAATGGCGACGGTGAACATCACACGACGTCCCTTTATCTTTGATTAAATATCATGACTTGTAAGCAAGCAATTAAACTTTAATCTGTGTTCAGTCATTAATCAACCTCGTAACACTGAGCTAATAATAGCGGGCTATCGTAATCCTTTTGTCTGGTAGCACTCTTCATTGAATTTTTTGTCTCGGGGTGAAAATACCTGTACAGTGCAGGTAAATGTTTTGTTTGAATCATGAGGTGGTATCAATGACTATGTTACTATAGCTTACGGTCTGTGAAAAAACTTTGGTACATCAAAAATTTTGATTTATAAAACTTTGATTCATAAGAGGGTAAGTTAGTAGTAATTTATAGAAATAAAATTTGGGACTGGACAAAAAACAATACATCAAGAAATTTGAATTATCAAAGTTTGATTCATAGAAGTTTGACTGTATCTCCATAAAGACATCACTAAGGAATATATTGAAAATCAAACCTTATCTATTGATGTAATTATGTTATGGTTAACCTTAACCCTAAATATCCGCTTCGGGTAAAATCATCGGATGAAGATGTACATTCAAAATCAAGAAAACATGACCAACCTTTTCTGAGGGAGCTATCTTTCCAAATCCACTTCCATCATCTTTGTGAGTTGTTTCTAAAAATGAAAACAAGAAAAAAAACACATTTTTGCTTTAAACTCTAAATTATTTGTAAAGGAGAACTATCAGATTATTTCAAAAACAACTTTTTAATTAAATTGTAATTCTTTCAGAATAAGGAGTGACAGGATTCTCTTAAACATGAATTCTAATTACGATCAATGATATTAAATGTAATGTTTAAATTTTCCCTAGGTAAATAAAACAACAATGAATACCATTTTGTCGACCAAATCGAGATGTAAGGATACACAAGAGATCCTCGGAACTGTATGTGTCGACTGCATAAAGTGTCACGGTCACCCAGAAATTGAACTGGATGTGCAACGATCAACCATAAAGTTGTAATACCAAATTTCATTTCTATAACTTGAAGCTTAAAGGGAAAACTGTGCAAAGCAATATTCCTGAGAAATTTTCTAAGTTCAAAGGGACATATCACTGCCAAGAAGGGTTACAGACTGCCAAGAAGCGAACTCGGTACGTAACTTTTGACCAAGAACTCATATACAAAATTGCATTTTCATAATTCGAAGCATAACCAAGAAAAGTACGAAAAACCATATTCTCGAGGAATTTTCGAAGAGGCATAACTCTGCAAAGAAGGGTCACAGACAGCCAAGAATCAAAACTTATCTGTACCCTTGCAATAAGAAGCCATATACCAAATTTCATTTTGATAACTCAAAGCATAAGCCAAAAAAGTCTGGAAAAACAATATTCCCAGGAAATTTTCTAAGTTGAAATTGGCAAAACTCTGCCAAAAAGGGCACAGACAGCAGGGAATCGAACTTAATCTGTACCCTTGCAACAAAAAGCCATATGCCAAATTTCATTTTGATAACTCAAAGCATTACCGAAAAAAAGTCCGGAAAATTTTTGTACGGACACCGCCAACGACGATGCGCGTGACGACAGACAAAGTGATCCCTAAGTGTCCGCCAGCTCTGCAGGCGACACAACAATGAACATATAAAAAAAAGGGAGAACAAAATTTGCCTGTTCCTACAGCTACAGTAAATAAAAGTCACATCCATACCTAGCATGATAGATTTGCATTCAAGCCTACAACTGTGTAGATACCTTTATCTGGTTCATCCTGAGTTTTATAGAAAACCACCTCTCTCTGGTCCTATAGATACCTTTATCTGGTACATGCTGCGTTTTATAGAAAACTATCTCCCTCTGGTCCTAAAGATACCTTTATCTGGTTCATCCTGAGTTTTATAGAAAACCACCTCCCTCTGGTCCTATAGATACCTTTATCTGGTACATTCTGCGTTTTATAGAAAACTATCTCCCTCTGGTCCTAAAGATACCTTTATCTGGTTCATCCTGAGTTTTATAGAAAACCACCTCCCTCTGGTCCTAAAGATACCTTTATCTGGTACATCCTGAATTTCACAGAAAACCACCTCCCTCTGGTCCTATAGATACCTATATCTGGTACATCCTGAGTTTTATAGAAAACTATCTCCCTCTGGTCCTACATAGAATGTTTTCTGCTACATCCTGAGTTTTATAGAAAACCATCTCCCTCTGGTCCTACATAGAATGTTTTCTGCTACATCCTGAGATTTATAGAAAACTGTCTCCCTCTGGTCCTATAGATACTTATATCTGGTACATCCTGAGTTTTATAGAAAACTATCTCCCTCTGGTCCTACATAGAATGTTTTCTGCTACATCCTGAGTTTTATAGAAAACCATCTCCCTCTGGTCCTACATAGAATGTTTTCTGCTACATCCTGAGTTTTATAGAAAACTGTCTCCCTCTGGTCCTATAGATACTTATATCTGGTACATCCTGAGTTTTATAGAAAACTATCTCCCTCTGGTCCTACATAGAATGTTTTCTGCTACATCCTGAGTTTTATAGAAAACCATCTCCCTCTGGTCCTACATAGAATGTTTTCTGCTACATCCTGAGTTTTATAGAAAACTGTCTCCCTCTGGTCCTATAGATACTTATATCTGGTACATCCTGAGTTTTATAGAAAACTATCTCCCTCTGGTCCTACATAGAATGTTTTCTGCTACATCCTGAGTTTTATAGAAAACCATCTCCCTCTGGTCCTACATAGAATGTTTTCTGCTACATCCTGAGTTTTATAGAAAACTATCTCCCTCTGGTCCTATAGATACCTATATCTGGTACATCCTGAGTTTTATAGAAAACCATCTCCCTCTGGTCCTACATAGAATGTTTTCTGCTACATCCTGAGTTTTATAGAAAACCATCTCCCTCTGGTCCTAAAGATACCTATATCTGGTACATCCTGAATTTCACAGAAAACCACCTCCCTCTGGTCCTAAAGATACCTTTATCTGGTACATCCTGAGTTTTATAGAAAACCATCTCCCTCTGGTCCTAAAGATACCTATATCTGGTACATCCTGAATTTCACAGAAAACCATCTCCCTTTGGTCCTAAAGATACCTATATCTGGTACATCCTGAATTTCACAGAAAACCATCTCCCTTTGGTCCTAAAGATACCTTTATCCCGTACATCCTGGTCTGTGATTGGTTGTACAGTTGTTGCTACAACTGCGTCTGGAATCTTGAGCTGAATCTTTTTAACTCCTGGTTGATTGGTTTGTTCAAACACATCTTTTGCTGATAATACTGGCCCTGTGGGTTTTGGGTGTGGCGTTTCTGTCTCCAGGATCAGTCTTGGAACCTTGTTTGGTTTGAATGACTTGGATGATGTAGTTCTTGGTCTTTTAGAAGCTTGTTGGCCAAAAATGGATCTGAGTAATTAATATCCATTTCTAAGTTATTATAAAGGATATTACATCTGTATTGCAACAATTAATCTGATACTAAAATGCATAATGATAGAATTTTAGAACTTTATGAAAAATTTAAAGAAAGAGCTGAAGATCTTTTCTTCTAATAATGGGACTACAACTCAGGGTACTGAATGGGAAAGTCTGTAATCATGCTGTGTACATTTAAGTTTAACAGTGTAAGGAGATCTCTAAAGAAAAAAACTGTCAAAAGTGCATGGTCGAACCATTTGGGAACTGCTGCAATATATACGTAGATGATACAATCTTATCATTTATGAAAAAACCCATAAAAACTTAAGAGGTGTAAAAAATCCTACAATCTAAAATTTCGGAAGCATTCGTAGGTTGTTTAGCTGATAAGTTAGAGGCCTATTAGGAATTAATGTATTCCACTGAAAAATTATTCTTACAAAAGTTTCTAAAAATTAAGAAGGAATATTTAGGATTTTAGTCAGAAATTATTTATAATATTATTATTATGACATTTTAAATGGCCCGTAAACACATAAAAGGTCATTAGGTCTATCAACTGGTGAAACACAGTGACCCAAAAGGAAATAACATCAAACAAACTAAAAGGTAAAAGACAAATGCTAAAAATCATAAATGGGTATATCATCACAAAAGATTAAAATGGTACATCATAATATATTATATAGACCAACATCTTTCATAGAATTTTACAAATTTCAACAGTTTCAAGCAGGGTTTTTTAGACTTTAAAATGATTAATGAAACAAACATCACTGTTAATATTATACATAACTAAATACCTCTTTGTGTCCTCATCACTCTCTATTTCAGATTCCTCAGAACTGACCTCCTTCACATGCTGGAGCTCCGGTGGCTGAGTTGGCTGTTCATGGCCCTGACAAATATAAGATTACATTGTCCTCATTTATACTGTTGACATTAAAATTAATATGTAATACTTTCTGATAATCAACAGTTATGTAAATTAACCAAAGAAATAACTGAGTTTATTGATGAATTAGATTTTGGTTACCAATGACACTGCTTTGTCTGTTTAAAGAATCTGTCAGTCTTGTAAATCCTTATATCTAGAAACACATAAAAAGAGGAATGAACTGATCAGGAAACCAATGATGTTGAGGAATATAATTCAAGGTTTGAAAACCAGTACATATTGGCAGCATTTTCTCAACTATCACTGTTTATAATTAATAATAGCTTTAACGGAAGCACAAAAAAGAATCTGAACAGGACAACAGGGAGAGTCAGACATGAAGCCAATGATCTGAACAAGGATCCTAACCCAAATGTCTTATTGAATGATGAGTGGATTACCATAAACCACTTCAAATTTTTGTATTCATTTTCATGATTTGATTTCCACATCACAAGTTTGCAGCATTGATAACATAACAGACTGTACTATTAGTAACTAACATACCCAATATCGGAGACCTTTGCCTAATTGCCTGGCAAATATGATATCTGCCAATTAATAACATGATATAATCAAACCAATTTTTATCATCCTTCTTGTCTTACCAAGTGGAAAATAATTTTTGTGAACTGGCTTGAATTATGAAATTCACAAAAAGTAAATCACATACGAAAGAATGTTAAATTTACATTATCCACCGTTCAATGTTTGATCTTCATTAAATTGGTCTTTAGAAGTGGGATCTTTTTTCATCTTTCCTCTTACTTGTTGTTCATTCTATTAAATTTATGAATTTCTCTTGAGAAATAGCAATACTTATCTTCAACTGCCATTAAAAATGCAATACTCACATGTCCATATATTGTTTTTCTGACAGTGCCAAAATAAAAAGGCCACAACAAGGGACCAAGGGGAACTACTTATGAAATTTCACACAAATTCATCCTGTACTTCTCATGAAATAGCTACAACAAACTTACATTGTCAATTCAAAATGACTGCCTGTCAGCCATTTTATTTTCTGATCGGATTCAAATTCAAAAGGGCAAATCTAGGGACTAAGGGAAATCTAACCGGGTACATATAAAATCTGAGAATGATCCATCAGGCACTTTCAGAGTCATAATCCAAGATGGCCGCTTGTCAGCCAAGTCCCAACAACAGAAAGGTACATCTAGGGACCAAGCGGAACGTACATAATCTTGAAGTTTGAGAATGATTCATCAAGCACTTATCAAGAAGTAATGATAACTATCTCTAAATATCAAAATCCAAGATGGCCACAAGTTGGCCATGTTGTTTTTTGAATCAGTGCAAAAATGGGATGATGCACAACTAGGGGCCAAGGGAAATCTACATAAGAAATTAAAAATGATCCTTCCAGTATTTCTCAAGAAACAACCATAACAGGAATTTTTTTAAGGACAAATGGATGAATGACGACCACATGTGATCTATATTTCAAATTTGAACTTTTTATTCCGAGTTTTTTTAGCCCAATGTCAGTGACTTAATGAAGGTTTACCAGAGGCGGCTGAGCAGTGAGAGGCCCGAATGGAGAGGGGAGATTCATCTTGTTCATCAGATGCAAAACCTGGAAGAAACCCATAGAATAAAAATCAGTTAAACATTTAGTTTTAAAACACAAATCAATTGTATTGAATTTTTACACTGTAAATGTACAAGCAAAACAAATAAATGTATATCAATCAATTTTTGTGGTAATATCTACAATACAGGTATAACAATGTCAGTCAATTTCTGTGGTAACATCTACAATACAGGTATAACAATGTCAGTCAATTTCTGTGGTAACATCTACAATACAGGTATAACAATGTCAGTCAATTTCTGTGGTAACATCTACAATACAGGTATAACAATGTCAGTCAATTTCTGTGGTAACATCTACAATACAGGTATAACAATGTCAGTCAATTTCTGTGGTAACATCTACAATACAGGTATAACAATGTCAGTCAATTTTTGTGGTAACATCTACAATACAGGTATAACAATGTCAGTCAATTTCCGTGGTAATATCTACAATACAGGTATAACAATGTCAGTCAATTTTTGTGGTAACATCTACAATACAGGTATAACAATGTCAATTAATTTCTGTGGTAACATCTACAATACAGGTATAACAATATCAATTAATTTCTGTGGTAACATCTACAATACACAGGGTTTATACTCTGTACAATGTAAATACATTGTATATACCTACACAATACATGTATTGATAATTGTCTACATGAAAATTTAAAGAAAAGTCATGCATTAGTCAATCTTTATGTTTACGTTTTTGTTAATGAGATATTGTTTTGTGTTAAATGGCAAATCCACAAAATAGGTATTAGTCAACTGAAACCTTCTATGACTTAATAAAATACACAAACGTGTACACATAGTAGGATTCTTACCTGGACATACAGTTTGGGGAAGGCTGCCACAGCATTAGCTATGTTGCTGATAATTGACATATTAGGAGGAGGATAAAGATAGCTCAATCGTGGATTTCTTGGATATTCAAGACTGGAAAAAGATTATCAAAAAATACAAACAAGCAAAATGTACTCTACAACATTCTTGTACATGTTCATGATGAACATCTTGTTAACATTAAACTCTGATTTATTGTGACTAATCTAGATGAAAAGGGAAAGAGGGGTGCAAATAAACATACTAACAACCACTGATCAGCAAAGTGTATGAAACTGTAACATCCTGAAAATGTTTAGTTATTGCTTCAAATCAAATGTAGTAAAGTGTGAAATTTGTGCCTTCAGTGAGGATCAATGATCAATACAACCTTACCTTGTGATTATATGATATTGCTGGATTTTGTCCTTCAATATGTCAAGCAAACTAAATGTAGAGTGGTGGGCTTATTACTGGAGATTGATATAGCATTTTGTAGATAATTCTACTAAAACACTTACTGTTATAGACATGGATATAACCAAGCTTAGGGGTTTTGTCTGATACATACAGTTAAGTGTAACTTAGAATAGGTAGAATTGCACCATTATCCTCTTACTAACATAAGTGGGGAATAATTGTGAACTTTATACATTATTTTCATTTAACAATATAAAAAAAACTTTAACAATATTTCTAGATTAATCAGGTCTAGGCTTTAGGTAAGTATATCTTAAGGAAATTAATCTGGGCACAAGAGATTCAAATTAACTGATTGCACTAAGCCCAAACACTATGTAACTTTACCTCCATTTTGTAAATGTCTTGTCTACAGATGGTAGGGGTGTCTGTATAACATCAGCCTTCATATCTTCATTCTTGTCACTTTTCTCCTCATTCATTTCCTTCTTCCTGTGGACATCAAACATATCAATCATAAGAAAGCCTGAAAACGTGACAACAGAAGCCCCTTGACCTTAATATGATTTTCTAGGAGAGACTTCCAGTATGAATTGACATTTTGCTTATGATACACAAAGGTCAACTGAAGTGGTTTAAACAGTTTTTGAAAATATGATTGTTCACAGATGCCAAACCGCCTGCTAGAGACAACAGACAATCCTGTATTATAATAGTTCATATACCTATATATTCATAAAGCGTAGAGAAGTGATATCTCATTTTCATTTCTTGTCAATTACAGCTAAATATTGTTTTATAACAACTTTCTGTTAAAAGAGTAAATACATACACCCTGCCATCTACAACTGACGGGAAATTTTTCCTCTGGTTTTCTTTTGCAAATTCTACAACCAGCTTACTTCCTAAAACCTCCAGCTGATGCAGATGTGATAGGCTCTTGAGAAAAAAATGAAATTAATTACCAAAATTATTAAGATTCAATGCAACCAACACATTACATCCGGGATTGTAGCTAATTGTTTTTAAGTATATATATATTTTACTAGTAAATACCTTGTGCATCTGTAAGATAATTAAAAAGATTAAATCAACTTGGCAATTTGCTTACATTTTCAGACCTAGCGGCCATCTTAAGGCGATTGTTTAAATTACTTGTTAACGACAATATGATATAATGAATAGTAACAGAAGTAATAGTAATTATTTGGTGCCGTGATGCCTTAATTACCTCTCCTGCTGTTACTATTGATTTCATCATTACCAAGTTGTTAAAACAAACGACTGAAGAAGGCTGACGGGTCTGAAAACGTAAGAGAACTTCCATGTTGATTTTAATTGTTTAATCATATGTATTTGAATAGATATTCATGTGTGTACTATACTACAATGTTTGTCATTTCTGGAATGAACACAAACTTTACTAACCACTTAACAGTATACCAGTATGTTTTACTTACCTCCCTGGCACAAGCATGGTCCTTAAAAGTAGCAAAGGCTGTATATTTCTACAAAAGATAAGATATACTACTGTTTATGTAACTGACTTATATTGTCCTAGACCACAGCAATTTTATCTCTTAGAACACATTTTCTGTGAGGGGAGACAAGTCCTTTATCCACCACTGACAGTTTTTTTGTTTCACTCAATAATATATTATGAGTTGTGGTCAGGTTGTGCACTGGTAACACACTCGCCTTTCACCTAGCCTTCCTGGGTTCTACTCCTGGAAATGTTAAGGGTCACCTGCTTGATCACGTGGGTTTTCCCTGGGTACTCTGGTTTCCTCCCACAATAAGACCCCTCACGCGCTTACATCCGGGCCAACAAGAGTGATTAGTATAAGTTAAAATAGCTTGTTTTGCAATTGTTGTAAAATAAATAAAGTTTATAGTTTACAAAAAAAAAGTTGTCACAAAATAAACACATTAAACCAGAAACTGAAGTCACATGTTATTATCTTGTAGAAAGAACTGTACAATAAAATCATTCTGAAATGAAATGTTATTATCTTTTCTCCTCTCAACCATCCATCATATGAAATTTCAATTAACTTATAATGAAGACATCAACAACAAGGGAAATAATTCCGTAATTAAGGGGTGGCAGGCCTTGAATTAGTTTTATTGCACATTTTCCAAGTATGAACAATGTACAAAAAACGTTTCACAATCCTAGTCTTAATGCAAGCAAAGCTATACCTATAACACAAAATATTTACAAAGGGCAATAACTGTAACTGTGGATCCATGGGCCCTGACTTTGCTTCATTACACCTTGGTTTTGTAGGTTTGATGTATACATTATTTTTCATTATCCTACTTCAAATGCAAGCAAAGTAATGCCCAAGACACAAAATATTAACAAAGGGCAATAACTCTGTAATTAAGGGGTTGCAGGCCCTAACAGTCCTGAAAGATTTTCGAGAAGCATATAAAAACAACAATGTAATCCTCACATATAGAACAAATCTGAGTTAAGATAGAAATATCAAACAATAAAAATGGTGATAATAGAAAATTAAAAAGATGACAAAAAAAAACCCATCCTGTACTGATCTAAAACTATTGTGTAACAAAAACATATTTAAACTGTCAAATGTTGATCTGTGGATAAGTATGAGATAAGTAGTGAAAACCTGATCCTTACAAAAGTTGATCTCTGGATATAATGGCAGCAAAAATATATTTCTCATCGTCTGATTATTTTTTATTAATGCTATGTCTCTTACTCCATTTTGATGGAAACACTACATTTTTCACTTGCATATTTGTCTTGCATAGTTCTGTAAATATTGCACCTCAAAGTCAATGGATCTGATGCATAACAGTTTACAAATTAGGCTGCTTTCAAGAATCTACCACAGGAATGAGAAAATGAAAGTTTAAGAAAATGGAAAAAAAAACCTGATAACAAAGAAAATAACACCATTTCAACAGAATTATAATCCACCACAAATTCAATAGAACTAGAGCAAAATAAGAACAAAAAGAGATTCATATAAAAAATATAAAGAGAATAAGCCAGGTGTTCAGTTTTGAAAGAGTATCCTGGTAAGTGTCTTCTGCTACATAAATGGCATCAGTAATGTAAATTTCGGTAAATCCAAGTAAGTAATGTCACATTCTCATATTCAGGTATAGATGTAATTGGACTTGGGGTGTGTCACTCTAATTTTTTTGTTTAAGTTGAAATAAAAAATGTATATAATTATAGTGGTATAGAAATATAAGATCAATGTTCTATTTAAAACAAGTTAATCATCCACCCATCCTGTGCCCATCAGTTCAACCTTTCATAAAAATGTGAAAGTGTGACTGTTTTCAACTCCCCTGGTCACAAAGTGCAGCTGTATAATTCATACATCTCAGATCTGGAGTGTCCACATAACACAATCACATTTAGATTGTGTGTATAACACTACTTACCATATTCCAAAATAGTACCTACCATTCTCCCTCTGTTTCCCATAACCTTGACATTTTCTGCTCCAAAATGTCTCAACAAGTCCTCTTTCTCAGCTTGACTGAGTTCCCCTGGCAGATGACGCACAATCAATGTGTCCATTGAATTACCTGTCATGTTTGTTTCCTGAAAGTTGAAATCATTACAGTGTCAATATCTTTAAAATGAAATGAAGTGATTTGCAAAATTTCACACCTTCATTAAATCTTTCAATAATTCATCTACATTTACAAAGATTTGTATGTTTTGATCACGCAAAAGCTATGAAAATGTTAAGAAGGAAAAACACGACTGTCTACTTATAGCTTAAAGAACTGTGATGTAAATAGATATATGTTACACTGGCATTTAACTACATAAAAAACACAGAAAATGTACAGTGCTATTTCTACTCACAAAACATTTAACAGGCATTTCAGTAAAGAACAATTCATTAGAAAATATTTTCATATCAAGAAATTATCGAAAAATATTAATTCTGTAATTGATTGAAAATTACACATACCATTTACATTATACGCTAAAATATGTGTCCGTGTAATCCTTCCACTTATATTGAGTAGGCCCTATTGCTATATATATCGTTACTTTACTCTTATATGAAGACATATTCCATTCTAACTAGCCGGTTAGCTACCGAGTACTCTGCCAATAGGCTATTCAGATCAAGTATCTCAGAAATCACTTGTTCTCTTGAGCATAAACTAAGCAACAATAACAAATGCACTATGGCCCAATGTCAGTGATGTGAAGAAACCTCTCCTATACATACCAATGGCAGGCCGTCTTCTTACTGCAGACACGACAATGGAGAGCGTTTACATGACCAAGATTATTAGTTGTCTTTTCAACAAACCCTCTTTAAGTCCCCGCAAAACAAACGCAAAGTTGACTAAGAAGTAAAAGGAAAATGGCAGCTTCCAGTCGTTTTGCACGGTGATTTTTTTCCGCTCCCCAAATTAGTCGTCTTTATGAATACCAGCGGTTAATAACGCTGAAGGAAAATCAATAGTCACCATGAAATTGGTAAGGTGAATGCTTTTTCAATTTCAGGCGATTTTGTGGAATTTCATCTTTATATATTTTCAGCATCTTCGCACACTCGCTATTTAGTAAAAATATATATAGTGATTCCATCCAATATATCCCATGTGTCGTCTGCAGATAAGCATCCCTTTGATGCAGATTCAGGCCACATATGTGCTTTCAGCATGAAGTTTCAGCGCAAAAAAGTTATAATCCGCAATGAATGTGAATGGTGTGGTGGAAGAAAAAATGATGTGTGAGGTGTTTGGATGAGATGTGATGTGTTTTGATAATGTATTAAGGAAATTTCATGTCTCGCCATCAGAACATGTGGATAAAGTGATTCAAGTACCAAAAAATGCAACCAACTCTTTGGAAAAAAAAGATGCCCTTTTACAAAAATCATTTGTTTAACCAACTCACTAGATTCTTTGTCCATTCTTTCGATGTGTACACTGTGATCATGACCAGGTGTGGTTCAGTTGTTTACATGTGCCTTATATACATATTTTTAGATTTTACTATACAGCCAGATCTGCTGATTTAACCAGATAAGCCAGTGCTCTAGTACCTGGTAAAGACCTCTAATCCACTTGAGCTATGTAACTACGATCATTTTATTTATCCATTTATATCAATGTAGTAATCAACTTATAACACAACAAACACTAATACTCCTTTCGCTGGTTATTCTAAGCATGATCCCAATTCTGCTAGTATAATATTCATATTCATTGCATTAAATAGAAGAAGAAAGTCCTGTTGTAAATTCTGTATTCTTTCTTTTGATTAGCATGTTGAGGACATTAGAGAATGTGTTCCAAATTCTAGTTGACAGCTTTTGATGGGTACTCTATAGTTATGAATCTTTCCAACATTCATTGTCCAACAATCTTGGGACTGTGTACTCCTATAACATATGACGCTGCTGGTCAGCTGATTTTGCAAATGATGCCTGTCACAACTTTCTCACTGAGTAAACCTCTAATATTGTTCAAGTATGGACAGAGAAGCTACAGTTTCGATTTAAGATACTTGATCATATCCAGATATACTAGATGGATGTAAAATTCAATCCTTCTCTTACTGATGCTGCCAATTAAATTAGGATTGATGTGTCGATTATTTGTTGCATTTTTTGCTTTTAATAATATTCAGTTATTTTTTATCTTTTCAAATAAAATATTATCAGAAAAAAAATTATCATCAGTGTAGAATAACTTTATTCAGTTTCACAACAGTTTCACAAATCAGAAAATAGTGCTTTCTCTTCACCTATAAATGTTTCTGGTCAGAGGCAAATGAAGTTCAGATTATATGAATGTTGTTTTTACCAGGCATACCTTTGCTAAGTCAACATTGCACATATCTTTTTATTGAAGGTATGATCATAACCATACAATATCAACAAAGTTACTAATTCTCACATTATAATGGCACATTTTTTTTTATATAGACTTGTCTGTCAGCCAATCCAAGCAAACCTTGTTTCATCCTTCACTTCAAAGGTGTGACCTTTATGTTGGATTGTGGTCTGGATGTGAGAGAAATACTGAAATTCTTACCACTGCCTGTTGTACACAAGTAAGATACAAACATGTAATAATATATCATATATTTAATGTATGAAGTTTCTTTCTAAGTTTATGATCAATACAGTATCATAACTACAATGTATTTTCATGTCTTTTGATTCTAGGCTTGTGCAGTCTGGGTGTTGATAATGATCACAAGTAAATTGAAAAGTTTATTGAACATTCTATTTCTACCCAGTTAAAAGTCTGTATCTGGTAATAAATCAACTCTACAGTAACAAGAACGAGTATAAATCAGATCTGTAGGTAAAAGAAAAGGTGTTATGATTTCTGTTCGTATATAGTATGTACAAATGTTCTACCATGTATATGTTTTAACGTCTAGATCCTGCTCAGAGCTTTAATGAGAAAAAATTATCGTTATTCCTGTATAGTGCAAGATTATCCAACTTAAAAGGATGGACATCCTCTGAAGACAAAAGTGAAGAAAATGTCTTGTTGGTAAGTGTGTAAAGATTTATCTCCCTTAGAAATATTTGAGTTGTACCTTATACCAGTGTAGATTTGTTTATTTTATTCCGAGTGATTACTTCAGTTGTATACTTTTTTTCATTATTATTTAAATTACCGATATTTATTTTGTTTGTCTCTAGTAATGTGTTTAATATTTGTGATATTCTAGAAGTAATCGTTATGTTGCTCTTAAATTAATTAGTGAGATATGTATACAATCTCTCAATAGACAAAAGTTGCTCAATTTATATAAAAAAAACTTGTTTAAATCGTCATTTATCTACCTTGCGTCCAGGAACAAGAGCTGAAGCAATGTGGTGGAAATGTATTTGTAGATGGAATGATTGAATTCTCAATACCAGAGGTATGTACCTACAAATTATTCATCATTTTTTAATAATAAATTACTACTGTTGTAATTTACAATAATAATCAGTATTGTATAGTAGTGTTTCCGGTACAGGAACACACAGTGTTCCTCTTCACCAGACTCAGAATTATACTAGTGTGGTTAAAGTTCATTTTCCGGTTAGTTTACAGTAGCTCTATGATTATATGCAATATCTTGTTTTTTCTAAAACTTATCCAGTTTGTTTTTAAAAGTATTTGTATTTGGAGCAGATACAATGTCTTCTGTAAGATTATTCCAAGTTTTTACAGTTCTTATAGCAAAGCTATTTCTTCTTTTGGTCCTGTGTTGTTGAAGAAAAAGTGTTTTATAGTGTCCTCGACCACGTCTTATTCCTACATCCATCTTAAGCTTTACAAAATTGCATGAATCCTTATCATATATACCATTTGTGACATTACAGAGTTCTATCATATCCCCTCTAAGCCTTCTGTATGTTAAAGTTGGAAGATTTAGCTTTTGTAGCCTGTCCTGGTACGACATTTCCTGCTTTCCTGGTAAACTTTTTGTGGCCCTGCATTGAACAGACTCCAGCTTATCTGTATCTTTCACTTTTTCCTTATCAGTGACTCCTAGACTATCCCCCAGTTATTGGTACTTTGCTCGTGTTCCATCTATCTGTGCAGTAACTTGTCCATCCAACGCATGTTTGCATTTATCCGGGTGTAGTTTTAGTAGCCATTCTCCCATGGTATTTAGATCTTCTTGAAGTATTACTTTGTCTTCTTATCTCTTTTGTATCGTCTGCAAATAGATACATATCTGATTTTACAATATCTGGTAAATCATTAACGAAAATGACAAACAGCAGGGGGCCAAGGACTGATCCCTGGGGAGTGCCAGATGATACATCATTCCATTCGGACTGTCATTTATTCTTACATGCTGTTTTCTCCCATTCAAAAAACTGTCTATCCATCTGAAAATTTGTTCCGAAATATTGTATGATCTAATTTTACTTAATAATCTTCTGTGTGGTACTCTGTCAAAAGCTTTCTGATAATCCATATATATGTGCAATTGATTCTCTAACCTTTATCCATAGCCTCTGTCCATTTATCCAGTACGTCTAACAACTGAATTGAAGTTGAATGGCCCGATATAAATCCTTATTGCCTTGAAGAGAAAAGATTGTGTGATCGCATACTAAATAAATGGTTATATTTGTCTATCTACAGAAGTGGTTCATAGTTGTAGTTCTAATATTGTTTGGTTTAGAGCGTTTGATAAATATATATATTTTTTTTAAGAAAATTTTTTATTAAGAATTTTCAGCAATATATGGTATTGATTACATTCATAGCATATCATATTCACTCAGACATCACACAGCTCACATGTACACTAGCTTGCAACGTTGATAAAAAATACACATATATTACCTTATTAAGAGAAACAGGAAAAGAAGAAAAACAGAGGAGACTGGCAGAGAAAGAAAAACAGGAAAGGATGAAAAAAAAAATATTAATAAATAAATCCTGATTTTGCGCTGTAGCTCATCTATTTGCATATATTAATATATATATATATAGTAATTTGAAATAAAAATCAAGAAACTGACAGAGGGGTTGTATTGTGTTTACCAGAAATCAAAGATAATAACTTTTAATAATTTTTAATCTATAATTCTAGGAGGGTGTTCCATTTTTTCCATTCCTTTTCTAGTTTTTTAACAAAATGATCCCCTTTGCAACATGCTATATATTTTTGAACATAATAATGATCTTATATGGTATTAATTAAGGCATTTATTGATAGAGTATATTGAAGGCATCTGGTCTTGTAAATATAATGCTAGATCATAATTAAAATTTCATTATCTAGTCTATTACTTGTTCCTGACTGTGATACTATGCTAAAGAGGAAAGATTCCTTGTTAAAAGAAAAAGGGATAATTAAAGCATCCAATAATGTTTCAAAGCTGTAGAGGAAATTTTGTACTATTGAACAGTCCCACAGTGTATGCACTATTGTTTCCCTATAATACCATAATACTTGGGATATTGGTTCACCTGAGTTGAACTTTATACTTGGGACATGAATTCATCTTGGTGAGCCAGTGTGTTGCATATCAAAAGTAGGTCACCCTGGCCTTCAATTTGATTTTGATCTACATCAAGGAAAATAAAATGTGCCGGTCCTGTCTCCTTTACTAAATAAATAACACTATATTTTGGAGATGGGTTCACCATGGTGAGGCAGTGTCATGCAGAACTATAATGAGGTATTCTGTCATTGGGGGACTATAATGAGGTGTTCTGTCAGTGGGGGACTAGAATGAGGTGTTCTGTCAGTGGGGGACTATAATGAGGTGTTCTGTCAGTGGGGGACTATAATGAGGTGTTCTGTCAGTGGGGGACTATAATGAGGTGTTCTGTCATTGGGGGACTATAATGAGGTGTTCTGTCAGTGGGGGACTATAATGAGGTGTTCTGTCATTGGGGGACTATAATGAGGTGTTCTGTCAGTGGGGGACTATAATGAGATGTTCTGTCAGTGGGGGACTATAATGAGGTGTTCTGTCAGTGGGGGACTATAATGAGATGTTCTGTCAGTGGGGGACTATAATGAGGTGTTCTGTCAGTGGGGGACTATAATGAGATGTTCTGTCAGTGGGGGACTATAATGAGGTGTTCTGTCAGTGGGGGACTATAATGAGGTGTTCTGTCATTGGGGGACTATAATGAGGTGTTCTGTCAGTGGGGGACTATAATGAGGTGTTCTGTCAGTGGGGGTCTATAATGAGGTGTTCTGTCAGTGGGGGACTATAATGAGGTGTTCTGTCAGTGGGGGACTATAATGAGGTGTTCTGTCAGTGGGGGACTATAATGAGGTGTTCTGTCAGTGGGGGACTATAATGAGATGTTCTGTCAGTGGGGGACTATAATGAGGTGTTCTGTCAGTGGGAGACTATAATGAGGTGTTCTGTCAGTGGGGGACTATAATGAGGTGTTCTGTCAGTGGGGGACTATAATGAGGTGTTCTGTCAGTGGGGGACTATAATGAGGTGTTCTGTCAGTGGGGGACTATAATGAGGTGTTCTGTCAGTGGGGGACTATAATGAGGTGTTCTGTCAGTGGGGGACTATAATTTGCTGAATAATCTTGCTATTAATGTTCTTATTTTTAAAAAGAATTTTGACTGAAATTTAATATAATTTTTGTATTCATTAAGCTTGTGACATTTCTAGGTGAGCATTACAGATTTGTCCCAGATTGATGCTATCCTGATCTCTAATCACAACACAATCCTTGCTCTTCCTTACATCACGGAGTACACTGGCTTCAAGGGTATTGTCTACTGCACTGACCCTACTCTTCAAATTGGGAGGTAAGAAAGTAAAATTCAAAGAGTTTCAGGGTGTCATACTACACTTCCTCCATCTTTAAATTGGGAGGTGAGAAAATGATATACTTGATACTGAGGTTTAGTGGAGTTATACTGTACTGTCATAACTCATCAAATTGGGAGATAGACAGTTATGTACAAATTCTTTGTTCCATTTGATTATTGGTAAAAATAAATATTATGCACATTTCTGTCTTCCAGACTTTATACTGTAGTTTTAATGACAATGAATAATGTTTTTGCATTTCGCTGATTGATTGAAATTGATATATTATATTTCTGTTGTCAGACAATACATGGAAGAGTTGGTGACGTATATAGAGAGGACCCCAAAATCTAAAGTCTGTACTCAGTGGAAAGCTGATCATATCCTGAAGTAAGTACTCACCCAAACTTAAGTCTGTACTCAGTGGATCATATCCTGAAGTAAGTACTCACCCAAACTTAAGTCTGTACTCAGTGGATCATATCCTGAAGTAAGTACTCACCCAAACTTAAGTCTGTACTCAGTGGATCATATCCTGAAGTAAGTACTCACCCAAACTTAAGTCTGTACTCAGTGGATCATATCCTGAAGTAAGTACTCACCCAAACTTAAGTCTGTACTCAGTGGATCATATCCTGAAGTAAGTACTCACCCAAACTTAAGTCTGTACTCAGTGGATCATATCCTGAAGTAAGTACTCACCTAAACTTAAGTCTGTACTCAGTGGATCATATCCTGAAGTAAGTACTCACCCAAACTTAAGTCTGTACTCAGTGAATTGCTGTGATGATATCACCTGGACGAAGTAAGTATATATAGAGATAGAAGTCTGTATTGAGTAGAAGGACAAGTGCATTCTGTGTTCCTGTAACAGATATGATCTGATGATTGGGTCTGATTATCAAACATTTTCTTGGAATCGACAGGGGATGCAAATTAGAAAATTATTTTGATTTAAACTGAAAAAGTTTCCACCCTTGATTGTGTGCAGAATTGAATGTTTTTTTTGTTTCATTGGTATACCATTGCCACGTGTACCTTCTGATTGACATAAAGCATGAACCTGGAAGATTGGCATCATTTTGAATTGTTTACCAGTTCACTGTAATTAGCTGATCTGATTTGTAAAATAAGATATAGAAAATTGATTGATGAAATTAAATTAAAAAACCTTTCTTCATCACTAAACTGCTTTTTCTTGCGTGTACTTGGTTTTTTTTAACCATACATTCCTAATCTGATGTTTTTAGGTCACCTGAGACAAAGTCTCATGGTGACTTATTGCGATCGTCTTCATCCAGTGTCATGTGTCGTACATCTGTAAACAGGTGAAAATTTTTTACTTCTTCTCAAGAACTCCTGATTAGATTTCAATGAAGTTTGGCAGAAATCTGTCCCTAGCCTAAGATGAAGCAAAATTGTGCTTTACACATTCCCCACCCCACAGGGGCCAGAGGGGCAGGGCCCAAGGGGCAGGGCCAAAAGCAGTCGAATTGACTCAGAGCATCCTCAGGTGCTTTAATTACCAAAATGGGTCTCACTTTTCTTCCAAGGGAGGAAGTTTTTAAAATTTTACTACATCTTTCATAGAAAAAAAACTTTTTTGGGCATATTTCTCAATAAATCTGTAAAAATTTTCATTATAGGATTACAGTTTTGAAGGTATGCAGGTATTGACACTGTCTATATTCAGTGTCACAATTTCTGTTTTATGACACTTGAAAACTATCCTTTAACCTTTACATTCAATATTGCTTATTACAGGTGACCGTCAAGACCACTAGGCCTCTTGTTGTGTTTTGTCAACAGAAATCTTAACTATTTTGACAATTTAAAGCCATGTTGTGTATGATTGTGTCTGTTCTGTTTCAGGTCGTTACCTCCCCTCCTCAGAGATACAGTACGTCCTCGTATGTGGAAGAAATGTTACACGAGGCATGATGTTAACTCCAGTCTGGCTCGTGTCCAGGTTGTAGGCTACAATGAGAGAAGGGTAGGTATATAGTTGTATATATATGATCAATGAAGTAATTATAACCATACAGACAGGTGAATTGTCAAAATTTCGAGGCAACCTGCCCCTTTATTAAGACAAAAATATTACGTATATCACATACATAGAACATGGATCAGATATAAAATCGAAAGCAGTTGTGTAAGTTTAGGTGTCTTGATTACTCCTTTGGCCAATGGCCACTGAAAGCCCTTTTTAACAAAATACCATCTTAAGCTGTGGTGTGAAAGTTTGTGAATCAAATATCAAAAATGTTTTCTATAAGTCTCGGTACACTTTGCACTCTAGCCACTGATCGTATATGTGATCGCAAAGAAAAAAAACTTGTGGTTACACTCCGAGGAAGGAAGTTCACTGGTACATTTCATCCCCACTCTTAAAAAAGGAATTGTTTGATTAAATATTAGAATTTTTTTGGTAAAAAAAAAAGAGTTGTATAGTTACAATAAGAAGTATTTTTGATAATAATCACCAGTTAGAGATACAAAAAGTATAAAAAAATATTATTTTGAATTTGGTCAAATAGGCCCCTGATTCATCAACACAGAAAACTCACCCCAGAAAACTAGATTTTGTACTTGAAAGAAAAATGTAAATGTTAATATGTGCCCTGAAAAGCTTAGACAAGACTTGCCCAAGAGCAAAACAAGATAAGGAGGGTCATCTGTATTTCATGAAAGTACAACCCTGGTCCAAATGGCCCAACCTATAAAATGAAAACAGTCATGGTGTTATAATGAAAAAGTCAATTGGTAGCTCATAAAAAGTCTGAGGATCTAGGCTGCTGCATTTGATTAGCTCCATTGCTTGTTATCTTTCATGTTAAACCCTAATCTCTGATGTCTGATTTGTTGACAGGTGAAAAAAATTAAGACTTTCTTACTCTTTCATTCGTCGCATTAGGAAAAAACAATTGTTTTCATTACAAAACCCCATAGATACTGATAAAACTGAAACCAAGGGGCTAATATGTCGTTTCTGATTCAAAGTCAGTAGGTGAGCTTATGTCAGGATGATGAAATAGTATTTGTGTATCATTTCTCCAAACAGCTGGGTTTGTTATCAGACATAAGCTAAGCATTGGATGACTATAGCAATACAGAATCCTGATGTTTTTTCTGTGGGATATCTATGGTTCCCTGACAGTGCTGGCTTGCAGCTCTGTGTACAGTAATACAGAATCCTGATGTTTTTTCTGTAGGATATCTATGGTTCCCTGACAGTGCTGGCTTGTAGCTCTGGGTACAGTATAGGCAGTTGTAACTGGGTAATCAGCTCAGAGTATGAAAAGGTAAGGAAAAACATCAAAAAGGTTTCTCCATTATAATATCACCTCTATATGTATCTTTTATAGTGAAAGGAGGTCAGGGAAACAGTACATTAACCTCAGATAATGTTATGATGGTTTACTGATAGAGTGATTCTCAAGATAATGTCAGGATTTTTCTTTCATAAAATTAACAAGCAAAAGCTGAAGTGTTCCCATTGATAAAATTTAAAACATATTTATACTGCACTTAGCAATATTTTGACTATTTTTTCTTGTCACTGAAAACAGAAAGTTTGTAAATATACCTTAGTAAGCCAAATACACTCAGACCAAAGTGTGCTTCAATCATTAAGGTTACTACTTTGCCCTTCTTCTAGGATAAGTCAATTAGTGTCACATGAAGTATTAATATGTACCTCAAGATTGTATTTTTTTCTGCAGATCTGCTATGTAGCTGGCACATCAACATTAACCACCCACCCTAAGGTAAACTCACAAATCTACTGCATGATATGCGACACAGCACACAAGGGAGGTAATTCTGTCAAATCTTAATGGATAGGAACAAGAATCTGGTAGCTGTAATAATTTACCTCAAACACAGACTGACATGCTTGATAGATCACAACATTAAGTTCTCCAGATTTAGTTACAGATTGTCAATGAATTACAGATTATTTTTTGTAGGATGTGAATTCTCTATATCAGTCTCAGGACATACATATATGCTATATGGAAACTGATTACTAAATATCAGTGGTTGTTTAAGGTAAATCAGTTTTGAACTCCTGTCAAATGCATTATTTGATATTTATCTTGACAGCCGGTGGATCAGGCACCCCTTAGGAACAGTGACCTTCTTATTCTAGGATGTCTAACACAGACACCGACTGTCAACCCTGACGCCATGATTGGAGAGTTCTGTGTAAATGCAGGTGATCATAAATACTTAAACTTGATATCTTAAATATTCTATTTGAGACTTTCTTGGAATTAGTATTGACACTAATGTACAAGATTTCTACAGCAATAAAAAGTCTTTTTATTTTCTTCTCTTTCTATTTGTATAAAATAACAGCTTAAAATTTCATGAGATGACTAATATTATTTTTTCCTTATTTCAATTAAACAAATTCTTTCGGAAGCATCATATTTGGAAATACATATCCTTAATAACAATTAAACAGATAATTACCAATCTTAATAGCTGTTATACTGTGTGAGTTCAATAAATACTGAGAATTTAAATGAATAAATTCCAGTTTAAACCTTACTAAACAAGCAGATATTTTTCATTGTTATAGTATAGTAAAACATGCACTTTATCAATTTAAAGTTATCTAGATGTATTGATTAAATATACATTGATTATTTTTTTCCTTTGTGATAAATGTTGCAACATGCCAGGTATCGTTGCGAGTGAAAAATGTTATTCACTCACTTTTCTCCCCATGAGAATTTTGAAAAGTTGGCAGGTATGAAAAAGTATGTATAGAAAAAAACCAGGTTTAGAAAAAATTGTTTTGATTAGATTAACTGTCATTTATATTCTGAATTTGTTCACAGCTGTAACCCTGAAGAATGGAGGCAATGTCCTAGTACCCTGTTATCCATCAGGGATTACCTACGACCTTTTTGAGTGTTTAAGTGGCCATCTGGACACTTGTGGACTGAGCACCATACCCATGTACTTCATGTCTCCTGTCTCTGATAGTGTCCTGGCTTTCTCAAATATTTTTGCTGAGTGGTGAGTGTCCAAATGATGTAGCAAATTATAATTGTACTCACCTACACAATACCTGTACTCACCTACACAATACCTGTACTCACCTACACAATACCTGTACTCACCTACACAATACCTGTGCTCACCTACACAATGCCTATACTCACCTACACAATACCTGTACTCACCTACACAATACCTGTGCTCACCTACACAATGCCTATACTCACCTACACAATACCTGTACTTACCTACACAATACCTGTACTCACCTACACAATACCTGTGCTCACCTACACAATGCCTATACTCACCTACACAATACCTGTACTTACCTACACCTACACAATACCTGTACTCACCTACACAATACCTGTACTTACCTACACCTACTCAATACCTATACTCACCTACACAATACCTGTACTCAGCTACACAATATCTGTACTCACCTACACAGTACCTGTACTTATCTACACCTACACAATACCTGTACTCAGCTACACAATACCTGTACTCACCTACACAATACCTGTACTTACCTACACCTACACAATACCTGTACTCACCTACACAATACCTGTACTCAGCTACATAATATCTGTACTCACCTACACAATACCTGTACTCACCTACACAATACCTGTACCTACCTACACATACACAATACCTGTTCTCACCTATACAATACCTGTACTTACCTACACCTACACAATACCTGTACTCAGCTACACAATAACTGTACTCACCTACACCTACACAATACCTGTACTTACCTACACCTACACAATACCTGTACTTACCTACACCTACGCAATACCTGTACTCAGCTACACAATACCTGTACTCACCTACACCTACACAATACCTGTACTTACCTACACCTACCCAATACCTGTACTCAGCTACACAATACCTGTACTCACCTACACAATACCTGTGCTCACCTACACAATACATGTACTTACCTACACAGTACCTGTACTCACCTACACAATACCTGTACTCACCTACACAATACATGTACTTACCTACACAGTACCTGTACTCACCTACACAATACCTGTACTCACCTACACAGTACCTGTACTCAAATACACAATACCTATACTCACCTACACAATACCTGTACTTACCTACACCTACACAATACCTGTACTCACCTACACAATACCTGTACTCACCTACACAATACATGTACTCACCTACACCATACCTGTATTCACCTACACTGTACCTGTACTCACCTATACAATACCTATACTCACCTACACAATACATATACTTACCTACACAATACCTATACTCACCTACACAATACATGTACTTACCTACACAATACCTATACTCACCTACACAGTACCTGTACTCACCTATTGCTTGATGATGTGATATTCATTGCTATTGTAGTATTACTATATTTATTACAGGTTATCTACAGTGAAACAGTCCAGAGTTTACCTCCCTGAGCCCCCATTCCCACACGCAGAGGTAGGACTTTCTTTCACCTCAATAACACTAATAAAATTGTTATGGAAACAATAGTTGGTTTGAACAAAGTATACCCTCACTCATTGGAAACATTGTTAGTTTCCTGTATGTTGCTCATTACCAGCATTTTTTAGCCCACTTTTACAGACAGTTTAAATCACTGTCCAATTTCTGTTGTCAGTCGTCAGTTCCTCAGTAAATACTTGAAGGTAGAATGGTTTAAGGATTGTAATGATATATAGGTATGTGATTGAGTTGTTGCTCTTTGTATGCTTTTTATACAAGTCAAATTGTCATTTCTTGCTTGCTTCATTTGCTAGGCCCGTGCATTTCAAGAATAATAGACAAAAATAATGCTGTATATCGGAATACAACTTGTTACTTATGTAGATTTAGGAACTATGTTCTGTGTGATCATAGTATATGTTTTGACCAGTGATCAATAATAATAATGATATACTGGACACAGGCTTATTAAGCCTATATATCCAGATCAGAATTGAAAAGAATTAGCATCCCTAATATGGATCAGTGTGTTAATGTCTAGTTCATGATTATAAACACGTTCAGTTTGCCTCCAATGATTATCCAATTGGGATTCAAAAGTTTTGATTGTTGGTGACATTACAACGGCATTAGGAAGTGAATTCCAGTGGTTTACCATCCATTCACAGAAATAATACTTCCTCAGATTTTGTCTGCTCCTTCTTTTTAATAGTGGAAAACTGTGCCCTCTTGTTATCTTGTTATTGTTTTGTATCAGGAAATCTGCCGCGATAGCCCTATCATATTCTCCATGTGTTAGTTTGTATACTTGAATCATATCAATATCCTGTCAATGATATTGTTGACAATAAAAATGTCTTTACGTTTGTTTTGATTGTATAATAATGAATGTATTACAGTATATAACTATACAATACAGTAACTGGCCCTATCTATTTTCATTACAGTTGGTGACACTAGGCAGACTGAAACACTTCAACAACATACATGGTACGTGGAGCACTGATGTATTTTTGGAGGTCTTGGAAAAGGAGATATAAAACTAGTTTTAGAGAAATATTGTTATGCTGACATTGGTGTAGAAAGGATATCATTATTGGTCAGGAAAGTGCTTTTATCAAATATGTGTTGAGATATATATATATTTTTGGATCAGAATTTGTTCCCTTGTTCTTCCAAGTAGTTGGTAAACAAAATTCCCAAGTCGGACTTTGGTTTTAACAAAAGTCAGATGTATGTACTTCACTTTTATTGCTCTTCTGGATGAATTTTATCGTTGTGATATCATGGTACTTCACAGAACTTGAAAAGGCAGAAAATTAGCGTTAAAAGCAGTAGCTTGACAGAGGATGCATTAGTATCCCTCCCCATTAAATTTGATGGCTATGAAAAACACCCTCCTTCATCTCTGCTATTGTCTGAGAGTCTTCATAATTTATTAGCAAAGAGCTATAACTAAGGACATAGAAAATTTGTTAAATGTTTAATTTGACAGATGGGTTGAGGAAAATGTAATTTTAGACATTGGTTTAATGTTTAATTTGACAGATGGTTTGAGGAAAATGTCATTTTAGACATTGGTTTAATGTTTTATTTGACAGTTTGAGGAAAATGTAATTTTAGACTTTGGTTTAATGTTTTATTTGACAGATGGTTGGAGAAAAATGTAATTTTAGACATTGGTTTAATGTTTAATGTGACAGATGGTTTGAGGAAAATGTAATTTTAGACATTGGTTTAATGTTTTATTTGACAGTTTGAGGAAAATGTAATTTTAGACATTGGTTTAATGTTTTATTTGACAGATGGTTTGAGGAAAATGTAATTTTAGACATTGGTTTAATGTTTTATTTGACAGTTTGAGGAAAATGTAATTTTAGACATTGGTTTAATGTTTAATTTGACAGATGGTTTGAGGAAAATGTAATTTTAGACATTGGTTTAATGTTTGATTTGACAGTTTGAGGAAAATGTAATTTTAGACATTGGTTTAATGTTTGATTTGACAGTTTGAGGAAAATGTAATTTTAGACATTGGTTTAATGTTTTATTTGACAGATGGTTTGAGGAAAATGTAATTTTAGACATTGGTTTAATGTTTTATTTGACAGATGGTTTGAGGAAAATGTAATTTTAGACATTGGTTTAATGTTTTATTTGACAGTTTGAGGAAAATGTCATTTTAGACATTGGTTTAATGTTTGATTTGACAGTTTGAGGAAAATGTAATTTTAGACATTGGTTTAATGTTTTATTTGACAGATGGTTTGAACACAGACTTTAAGACACCGTGTATCGTTTTTACCGGTCACCCATCTCTGAGGATGGGTGACGTTGTCCACTTTATTGAGATGTGGGGGAAGTCTTCTGGGAATACGATTATATTTACAGGTAAGCAACCTTATTCATTAAACAATTAGTTGATGCCTGATAATACACCTACAAATATATATAGCTGCTCTGGAAAATTATGAATAAATTGTGTTGCGGTGTCCTATAATAATCTAGGGTCGGCGGTGGCTGAGTGTTTAAGGTGTATGACCATTGTTATCACTAGCCCTCCACCTCTAGGTTATGGGTTCTAGGCCTATGTAGGACACTCACTAGTTACTGGCAGAAGGTTGATGGCTTGGAGAACTCTTGCTGTCCTCCAGGACCTAAACCTAGTTATTTACTTAAAATTAGCCTTTCAGATGTGAAAAACCCACAGCAAGACCCGAAATTGTTGTCATATTGTGATTTTAATTGTTTTTACATACATATGTTGAAATTGTCTTTAACATGTCACGTCCTTGAATGACCTTAAGTTTAATAGGATGTAAAGTAACAATTAACTACATTAAATCTACAACAAGCCCAACACCATCTTTCAGTATGTACAGGGAAACATCACCTAATGACCACCTCACAATTATGACCAACCCGTTATTACGGGCACTTTTTCCCAGTCCCATTTTTTTCACTATATACCTTTCTATTGGTTGCTTCAGTATTACGACCACCCAGCTATTCCGTATTACGACCACTTCTTACAGTCTTAACGACCAATAATTAATGATAATTGACCTCACAATTATGACCAAGTTCTGACCAGTGTCCCCAACCCTGTCACCAGGTGGCGTTATGCGAAGTTAACATCATTATTGGATGAACTTGTGTGAAACTGCATGCCAGACACATTTTAGTAGCGATCTATTGTTGGTTAATTATATATTGACATATCAGTAGGTATGCTGTTAAACACCTTAGAAGCCCTGTAAACCCAAAAGTGAATTATGTAGTCTTTTTGACCGATATTCCTTTGCTTGCATGCACACACGTTGTCAAGGGTTGTTAGCTGTTTTTGTAGTGATAGTACACTCTCCAAATCGTTTGAACAATAAAAAAACATGTATATGTTCCAAATTTTGCACATCATATTTTCATTGTCACAAAACTTTATCAAGCAATGATGAAACCACGTAAACGAAACGAGCTATCTCGATCAGTGAAAAGGACTAACTGAAAAGTAGGCTGTCCAGATCTGTAGCTCTTTACAACATTGTGCACTGGACTTTTTTTGGTTTTTTTTTTTTTTTTTGTCCTTTTGTGTTTATACTCTTTTAAACTATGGCAAACACATTAAACTTTCCAACTTGTGTCACAAATTGGACTAAACACGGTGTTTACTTGGGTTGACCAAAACGTTTATTTCATCGTATAGTGGTTTTTCCATAGTTAGTACTTCGCATTAATATCCATTACAAAAGATAGTTCCTAATCAACATACAGCAGCATGTCGTGGCACCAAAAATAATAACCTGTGTAAGGCAGACAAAAAAGAATTACCTGCCCGTCCATATCAAAGAGTTCCATACAAACGTCTTTGGGTCAACTTGTCCAGGGCCCGCTCCATTGCCGAGCAGGTCCCATACTCCCAACTCTATCCAGCTAATCGAGCCCAGACTCGTCTAACTTCTGCTGGCTATTGTCTTAGTATAAATACTACCCAAATACTTAATTTCAGCCTAGTCCCTATTGGACAACAATAACCCAACCCACGGAGCATCTAATTATGAAGACATGTGCGACTAGGAGTACCCGTTATCAACTTCCCATCTTTGATCTACCTTATACATTGTTTCTTATCTTGTTTACTTACAAATACGTTCACCAGCACGAGGCAGACAGGAGAGAGCATCTACCTGTTCTGATCACTCATACCAGCGATATTCTGCCACGATGTTTCAACACTGAGGTGCACACCCTTCCCGTTACCAGGCGTGCATCACTACCTGTCACTGACAGGTCGTTAAGCCTGGTCCAGTGCCTGACCTATGACACCTGTTGTTATTGTTCCCTGAGATACCTTTTGTACTTTAATTTCTGACCCAAAATGTACTTTTACTATCCATTTTGTTACACTTGTAACCGTTTTAATTTACTCATTAAAGTAACAAAAGTGTCTTTAAAAAAAAATTCTACTCCATTGAGGTAATTACGGCAGAAACAATTATAATGGTTACCTCCCTTTTTCTTTTATAGTAGATTATCAATTTGGACTTACTGTAGGACAAAGCCAGTACATTTAGCATACATAAACACCATACATCCCACTACAGCTACAGACAGGTGTTTTATGTTCATGATATGTACATAAATGCTCTAGAGAGAGACTCAAGATTATGAAATGGAAGAAAACTGGCTTAGTTTGAAGAATAATACAAGGTGTCACTTCAATTCATAACCTGCATGATTTTATGTTCAACATGTTGATGTAACAGGGGTCAGAGGCCATTATTTATCTCATGCCTCAACTAAGTCTGGCTTACTAGCCTGATGCTCAACTGATCGAAGAGTGCACTCTAGCTCTCATGGTGTATGGATGAATGTTACCTTCTTACTTTATGGGTTATTTTTTCCTGTTTTGTTGTTATATTTTAACTTTATGAGTTATTTTTTCATGTTTTGTTGTTATATTTTAACTTTATGGGTTATTTTTTCCTGTTTTGTTGTTATATTTTAACTTTATGAGTTATTTTTTCTGTTTTGTTGTTATATTTTAACTTTATGGGTTATTTTTTTCTGTTTTGTTGTTATATTTTAACTTTATGGGTTATTTTTTCTGTTTTGTTGTTATATTTTAACTTAATGGGTTATTTTTTTCTGTTTTGTTGTTATATTTTAACTTTATGAGTTATTTTTCCTGTTTTGTTGTTATATTTTAACTTTATGAGTTATTTTTCCTGTTTTCTTATTTTTTTCTGTTTTGTTGTTATATTTTAACTTTATGAGTTATTTTTATTTTAACTTTATGAGTTATTTTTCCTGTTTTGTTGTTATATTTCCTGTTTTCTTATTTTTTTCTGTTTTGTTGTTATATTTTAACTTTATGGGTTATTTTTATTTTAACTTTATGGGTTATTTTTTCCTGTTTTGTTGTTATATTTTAACTTTATGGGTTATTTTTTTCTGTTTTGTTGTTATATTTTAACTTTATGAGTTATTTTTATTTTAACTTTATGGGTTATTTTTTCCTGTTTTGTTGTTATATTTTAACTTTATGGGTTATTTTTTCCTGTTTTGTTGTTATATTTTAACTTTATGAGTTATTTTGCCAGTTTTGTTGTTATATTTTAACTTAATGAGTTATTTTTATTTTAACTTTATGGGTTATTTTTTTCTGTTTTGTTGTTATATTTTAACTTTATGAGTTATTTTTCCTGTTTTGTTGTTATATTTTAACTTTATGAGTTATTTTTATTTTAACTTTATGGGTTATTTTTTCCTGTTTTGTTGTTATATTTTAACTTTATGGGTTTTTTTTTCTGTTTTGTTGTTATATTTTAACTTTATTAGTTATTTTTATTTTAACTTTATGGGTTATTTTTTCCTGTTTTGTTGTTATATTTTAACTTTATGGGTTATTTTTTCCTGTTTTGTTGTTATATTTTAACTTTATGAGTTATTTTGCCAGTTTTGTTGTTATATTTTAACTTTATGAGTTATTTTTATTTTAACTTTATGGGTTATTTTTTTCTGTTTTGTTGTTATATTTTAACTTTATGAGTTATTTTTCCTGTTTTGTTGTTATATTTTAACTTTATGGGTTATTTTTTCCTGTTTTGTTGTTATATTTTAACTTTATGGGTTATTTTTTCCTGTTTTGTTGTTATATTTTAACTTTATGAGTTATTTTGCCAGTTTTGTTGTTATATTTTAACTTTATGGGTTATTTTTTCCTGTTTTGTTGTTATATTTTAACTTTATGGGTTATTTTTTCCTGTTTTGTTGTTATATTTTAACTTTATGAGTTATTTTGCCAGTTTTGTTGTTATATTTTAACTTTATGAGTTATTTTTCCTGTTTTGTTGTTATATTTTAACTTTATGGGTTATTTTTTCCTGTTTTGTTGTTATATTTTAACTTTATGAGTTATTTTGCCAGTTTTGTTGTTATATTTTAACTTTATGAGTTATTTTTTTCTGTTTTGTTGTTATATTTTAACTTTATGAGTTATTTTTCCTGTTTTGTTGTTATATTTTAACTTTATGGGTTATTTTTTCCTGTTTTGTTGTTATATTTTAAATTTATGAGTTATTTTGCCTGTTTTGTTGCTATATTTTAACTTTATGGGTTATTTTTTCCTGTTTTGTTGTTATATTTTAACTTTATGAGTTATTTTTCCTGTTTTGTTGTTATATTTTAACTTTATGGGTTATTTTTTCCTGTTTTGTTGTTATATTTTAACTTTATGAGTTATTTTGCCTGTTTTGTTGCTATATTTTAACTTTATGGGTTATTTTTTCCTGTTTTGTTGTTATATTTTAACTTTATGGGTTATTTTTTTCTGTTTTGTTGTTATATTTTAACTTTATGGGTTATTTTTTCCTGTTTTGTTGTTATATTTTAACTTTATGGGTTATTTTTTTCTGTTTTGTTGTTATATTTTAACTTTATGAGTTATTTTTTTCTGTTTTGTTGTTATATTTTAACTTTATGGGTTATTTTTCCTGTTTTGTTGTTATATTTAACTTTATGAGTTATTTTTCCTGTTTTGTTGTTATATTTTAACTTTATGGGTAATATTCTCCTGTATTGTTGTTATATTTTAACTTAATGGGTTATTTTTCCTGTTTTGTTGTTATATTTTAACTTTATGGGTTATTTTTATTTTAACTTTATGGGTTATTTTTTTCTGTTTTGTTGTTATATTTTAACTTTATGGGTTATTTTTTCCTGTTTTGTTATATTTTAACTTTATGGGTTATTTTTTCCTGTTTTGTTATATTTTAACTTTATGGGTTATTTTTCCTGTTTTCTTATTTTTTTCTGTTTTGTTGTTATATTTTAACTTAATGGGTTATTTTTCCTGTTTTGTTGTTATATTTTAACTTAATGGGTTATTTTTCCTGTTTTGTTGTTATATTTTAACTTTATGGGTTATTTTTATTTTAACTTTATGGGTTATTTTTTTCTGTTTTGTTGTTATATTTTAACTTTATGGGCTATTTTTTCCTGTTTTGTTATATTTTAACTTTATGGGTTATTTTTCCTGTTTTCTTATTTTTTTCTGTTTTGTTGTTATATTTTAACTTTATGGGTTATTTTTTCTGTTTTGTTGCTATATTTTAACTTTATGGGTTATTTTTTCCTGTTTTGTTGTTATATTTTAACTTTATGGGTTATTTTTTTCTGTTTTGTTGTTATATTTTAACTTTATGGGTTATTTTTTCCTGTTTTGTTGTTATATTTTAACTTTATGGGTTATTTTTTTCTGTTTTGTTGTTATATTTTAACTTTATGAGTTATTTTTTTCTGTTTTGTTGTTATATTTTAACTTTATGGGTTATTTTTCCTGTTTTGTTGTTATATTTTAACTTTATGAGTTATTTTTCCTGTTTTGTTGTTATATTTTAACTTTATGGGTTATATTTTCCTGTTTTGTTGTTATATTTTAACTTAATGGGTTATTTTTCCTGTTTTGTTGTTATATTTTAACTTTATGGGTTATTTTTATTTTAACTTTATGGGTTATTTTTTTCTGTTTTGTTGTTATATTTTAACTTTATGGGTTATTTTTTCCTGTTTTGTTATATTTTAACTTTATGGGTTATTTTTTCCTGTTTTGTTATATTTTAACTTTATGGGTTATTTTTCCTGTTTTCTTATTTTTTTCTGTTTTGTTGTTATATTTTAACTTAATGGGTTATTTTTCCTGTTTTGTTGTTATATTTTAACTTAATGGGTTATTTTTCCTGTTTTGTTGTTATATTTTAACTTTATGGGTTATTTTTATTTTAACTTTATGGGTTATTTTTTTCTGTTTTGTTGTTATATTTTAACTTTATGGGTTATTTTTTCCTGTTTTGTTATATTTTAACTTTATGGGTTATTTTTCCTGTTTTCTTATTTTTTTCTGTTTTGTTGTTATATTTTAACTTTATGGGTTATTTTTTTCTGTTTTGTTGTTATATTTTAACTTAATGGGTTATTTTTTCCTGTTTTGTTATATTTTAACTTTATGGGTTATTTTTCCTGTTTTCTTATTTTTTTCTGTTTTGTTGTTATATTTTAACTTTATGAGTTATTTTTTTCTTTTTTATTGTTATATTTTATGATGGTTTGGATTTGCTCTGATCCTTTATCTATAAGCTGTATATCTAAATTTACAGAACCAGACTTTCCATACCTAGAAGCTTTAGCACCCTATCAACCCATGCAGATGAGGGTTTGTATTGAATATCTTTATCCAGTTATAAACCTGTAAAACATTACTTTAAATGTAGATAAACAAGTGAAAACATATACTTTGAAAATGAAAAGAATAGAAAGAAAGATATTCTATTTTTTAATTGATGATTTCTGTGAAATCAGTCGATATTGCTTCATTTGGAATATATTGGAAAACAACCAAACCATTTGAACCATCAGAAGAAAAAAAAGTTAAAGTGTTCTGTTCTGACTTTATTTTTTTTCTATATTTTGAGCAAATAAAATTCACCATGTTTGTATTTGCCAGGTGTGTTATTGTCCTATAGACACTAGCCTTAATTATGGCCAGGCTAATAAACTGATAAAGGACCTGAAACCTACACACCTGGTAGTTGCAGAGAATTACACACATCCTCCAGTCTCCATGCCTCATCGCACAGAGTTTGTCATTGAATGGGTAAGTGGATAAAGAAACATTGGATTAGATTTCAAGCAGTGAGAGATATTAGGACAAAATTTGTTACCGTAGTGTCATTTGTTAATTCATTACATTTATCTTCCTTGCTTGGTATTTGAAAATGATTGCTGAAATTTCAAATATCAATTAGTATTAAGATAAAATAAGCTTTGAGGTAAATTTTCAAAAGTTATTGAAATAACTGAAGACTTTAAATGTACAATCATTTACTACATTTGAAACTTTAACAAATGAAATGTTGCTTTAAGTGTTATGGTCAGAATGTTTTAAAAATTAGCATGTATATGATTTTAACAAACTCAATGTTGAAGGAACCTGGCCCCCTGACATACAAACGTGGGGAGGTTGTGTCACTGCCTATTAAACGTCAGTTTGAGTCGGTGGAGCTGAGCTCTGAGGTAAGTAAACATGGTATTAGTTGATGATCAGATTTTAAAGGAACTTTTGATCGGGTGTTTATTATTTAGATGAGGACGACAGAAGCTCAGTCTGAAGAGAAAACTCAGAACTTAATCTATTTATCATCTTTGGTTTATCATCCTTTGGTATCAACTTTTTTTCTTTCTTTTTAAACTCTTCTTTCTGTGGAGTAATTTTAAAAAATTGTTTCTCAGTTCTTATGAAAACAATAAAAGATTTTGATATAGTGTGTGCTCCGTGGGAGCAGGGACTGGCCTGTCATGGTTATGTTCTAGTGCTTTACCATGTTTGCTCTAGATGTTATACACATGGCCTCATGGAGGCAGCCACCAGCTGTTATAAGGAAACTCTCTCTCAAAATGACCTTGGCTATTCATGGACAATAAACTCATTAAACAAAGTAAAATCAGCCAGAAATTATGTGTGACATTTTGACATACAGCATCTTATTCATATTACATTGTTTCCTCCATCTTCACCACTTAGCTTGCAGCATCATTGGAACCATCAGAAGTGAAGCCTGGTACTAGTCTTTGTATGGTCACAGCATCGCTCGTGGTCAAAGACAACAAATATCTGTTAAAAGTAAGTCATGAAAATGGAGAATTACCCTCTCTCCTTATGAACATGATGTAATTAAAAATCTTAAAGCATGCTTCTTAAAATTGACTTATGAATCATTACAAAACCACTTTTATTAAGAAACTACCTTCTTTGAGACACCATGTTCATAACAGGACCACCTTCATTAAGAGACCACCTTTATTACAAGATCACATTCATTAAGAGATCACCGTCCATTAAGAGACAAACTACCTTAACAGACAAACTACCTTAACAGACAAACTACCTTAAGAGATCACCTTAATTAAGAGACAAACTACCTGGAGAGATCACCTTCCATTAAGAGACAAACTGCTTTAAGAGATCATCTTCATTAAGAGACAAACTACCTTAAGATATCACCTTCCATTAAGAGACTAACTGCCTTAAGAGATCGCATTCATTAAGAGACAAACTACCTTGAGAGACAAACTACCTTAAGAGATCACCTTCATAAAGAGACAAACTATCTTAAGAGATCACCTTCATTAAGTAACAAAATACATGGAGAGATCACCTTCATTAAGAGACAAACTACCTGGAGAGATCACCTTCATTAAGAGACAAACTACCTGAAGAGATCACCTTCATTAAGAGACAAACTACCTTAAGATATTACTTTCATTAAGAGACAAACTATCTTAAGAGATCACCTTCATTTAGAGACAAGCTATCTTAAGAGATCACCTTCATTAAGATATCACCTTCTGTTAAGAGACAAACTATCTTAAGAGATCACCTTCATTGAGAGACAAACTATCTTAAGAGATCACCTTCATTTAGAGACAAGCTATCTTAAGATATCACCTTCATTTAGAGATCGCCTTCTGTTAAGAGACAAACTACCAGAAGAGATCAGCTTCATTAAGAGACAAACTATCTTAAGAGATCAGTTTCATTAAGAGACAAACTACCTGGAGAGATCACCTTCATTAAGAGACAAACTACCTGGAGAGATCACCTTCATTAAGAGACAAACTACCTGGAGAGATCACCTTCATTAAGAGACAAACTATCTTAAGATATCACCTTCATTAAGAGACAAACTACCTGGAGAGATCACCTTCATTAAGAGACAAACTATCTTAAGATATCACCTTCATTAAGAGACAAACTATCTTAAGAGATCAGCTTCATTAAGAGCCAAACTACCTTAAGATATCACCTTCATTAAGAGACAAACTACCTTAAGAGATCAGCGTCATTAAGAGACAAACTATCTTAAGATATCACCTTCATTAAGAGACAAACTATCTTAAGAGATCAGCTTCATTAAGAGCCAGACTACCTTAAGATATCACCTTCATTAAGAGACAAACTACCTTAAGAGATCAGCATCATTAAGAGACAAACTATCTTAAGATATCCCCTTCATTAAGAGACAAACTATCTTAAGAGATCAGCTTCATTAAGAGCCAAACTACCTTAAGATATCACCTTCATTAAGAGACAAACTACCTTAAGAGATCAGCGTCATTAAGAGACAAACTACCTTAAGATATCACCTTCATTAAGAGACAAACTACCTGGAGAGATCACCTTCATTAAGAGATAAACTATCTTAAGATATCACCTTCATTAAGAGACAAACTTTCTTAAGATATCACCTTCATTAAGAGACAAACTACCTGGAGAGATCACCTTCATTAAGAGACAAACTACCTTGAGAGATCACCTTCATTAAGAGACAAACTACCTGGAGAGATCACCTTCATTAAGAGACAAACTATCTTAAGAGATCACCTTAATTAAGAGACAAACTATCTTAAGAGATCACCTTCATTAAGAGACAAACTACCTGGAGAGATCACCTTCATTAAAAGACAAACTATCTTAAGATATCACCTTCATTAAGAGACAAACTATCTTAAGAGATCAGCTTCATTAAGAGACAAACTATCTTAAGAGATCAGCTTCATTAAGAGACAAACTATCTTAAGAGATCACCTTCATTAAGAGACAAACTACCTGAAGAGATTACCTTCATTAAAAGACAAACTATCTTAAGATATCACCTTCATTAAGAGACAAACTATCTTAAGAGATCAGCTTCATTAAAAGACAAACTACCTGGAGAGATCACCTTCATTAAGAGACAAACTACCTTGAGAGATCACCTTCATTAAGAGACAAACTACCTGGAGAGATCACCTTCATTAAGAGACAAACTATCTTAAGAGATCACCTTAATTAAGAGACAAACTATCTTAAGAGATCACCTTCATTAAGAGACAAACTACCTGAAGAGATTACCTTCATTAAAAGACAAACTATCTTAAGATATCACCTTCATTAAGAGACAAACTATCTTAAGAGATCAGCTTCATTAAAAGACAAACTATCTTAAGAGATCACCTTCATTAAGAGACAAACTACCTGAAGAGATTACCTTGTTATGGGAATCACTGTGAAATAGTTAATGTGATGTGTTATTAGCAATAGTATTGTTCTTGTTTTGATGGTTTAACTTGGAGTTTGAAAATATGCTGAAATTATAAAATTTTAGATAATCAATTTTAAGATAAATGCTGATTTTACTGGAGGAATTTTCCAGATACTAATAATGAACATCAGAAAATAGCAGTGATGCATTCTTTGTAACAGTATATATCATATCAAATGTATCAGAAAAAATGCCCCCTGTTCCTCTGAGTATATCCTCCACTTACTAAAAGATGAGGAGGAAGGGGGGGGGGGGGGGGGGGGGGGGGGTAAAGTATATCTGGTCAAAGTTCCCCTTGACCATTTATTTACGAGATTATTTTCTATGAAGGCGTTGATCTATGTACTTATTAGTTATTACTTGTATCCAGTTTTTACAAGATTTTACATTAAATCTTTTGATGACACATCTTTCTTTATCATGTTTTCTACTGTATATTTCAGCCATTGTCATCCGAGTCTTTATCTATAAAAAGACGAGCTGATGGTTCACTGATACGACCAAAATCGTACATATGGGGAAAACTCAACATTCAGTCTTTTGTAGATGCACTCACTAAGGTAATTTTTTGTAGTCATTTGTCTGTGTTAGTGTATAGATTTGGAACAGTAAACCTTCTTTCTATTGTGCGTGACTTACCTCAATAAATTTTGTGATCAAAGCAAAATCATGTAAATTAATCATGACAAGTTTACGTTATGGATGATGAAATTCAGTTTTGAAACTTCGTTAATTAATTATATATGACTACCTTCCTGCCTTTAAGTTTATCCTATGTTCATTACATACTGCTGTTATATTCAGTGCCAAGGACAATTCATTTCATCCTTTTCAATTCTTAGGAGTCCATGTTTAGTAACTTGAATGTACAAAATCCCTAGTGTGCTTGAATTCAATGACCAGATCACTTGTATATGGCGCTATACATATTAAGCATTAAAAGGACTTTGATCAACCTACACATTGCTAAGGAACCATAAGTGCAAGACACATAATTAATTTGAAAGTTGGACTGGCTTATTCGTCAGTGTATAGTATATGATAATTGCTGTTATTGAAAGGGCACAAGTTGTTCCGGTCCATTAACAGCTCATAAACTGACATGTGTCCCTTTGCATGGCCTAGTGTTAACTTACCTGTTATGGCCAAATTAGCTGCCTTCAATATGGCTCCTTACTAAATTTAAATGGCAACATATCTGTATTTCTGAAATCACAAATTTTAGTATCTGTGACAGAAAGTTAGTTTATAGTAAATCAAATAATATTTATCAATGTTAAACTTTTTTTTCAAATTTCTGATATGTAAATAAATTCTGTCTGTTTATACATGTACCAGGAACTTATGTAAGTCTATGATCATACTTCTAGATCGTCATGTTTAAATACTTGTGTGTTTTCTACTATACAGCAAGGTATAACAGATATCAAGGTGGAAAATATTGGTGAGGATGGCTCCATCATACACCTGGTAAGTGTTTTCTTAAAGTGTAAAGTATGGGTGAGGAGGGGCTCAATCATACATCTGGTTAGTGTTTTCTTAAAGTGTAAAGTATGGGTGAGGGGTGCTCCATCATACACTTGGTAAGTGTTTTCTTAAAGTGTAAAGTATAGGTGAAGGGGGGGGGGGGCTCAATCATACATCTGGTTAGTCTTTTCTTCAAGTGTAAAGTATGGGTGAGGGGTGCTCCATCATACACCTGGTAACTGTATCTGTTCACATTATTTAATAATCTATCAATATCTATGATATCCTTCAAGTATCAAGTGTATCTGATGATTGCTCTATCTGTGTATCTTTGATACAGTAGATGTATACAGTCAGGAAATACACATTGTACATTAGTTACAATCAATATCTGTGATACAGTAGATGTATACAGTCAGGAAATATACATTGTACATTAGTGACAATCAATATCTGTGATACAGTAGATGTATACAGTCAGGAAATACACATTGTACATTAGTGACAATCAATATCTGTGGTACAGTAGATGTATACAGTCAGGAAATATACATTGTACATTAGTGACAATCAATATCTGTGGTACAGTAGATGTATACAGTCAGGAAATATACATTGTACATTAGTGACAATCAATATCTGTGATACAGTAGATGTATACAGTCAGGAAATATACATTGTACATTAGTGACAATCAATATCTGTGGTACAGTAGATGTATACAGGAAATATACATTGTACATTAGTGACAATCAATATCTGTGATACAGTAGATGTATACAGGAAATATACATTGTACATTAGTGACAAATCAATATCTGTGATACAGTAGATGTATACAGGAAATATACATTGTACATTAGTGACAATCAATATCTGTGATACAGTAGATGTATACAGGAAATATACATTGTACATTAGTGACAATCAATATCTGTGATACAGTAGATGTATACAGGAAATATACATTGTACATTAGTGACAATCAATATCTGTGATACAGTAGATGTATACAGGAAATATACAGTACATTAGTGACAATCAATATCTGTGATACAGTAGATGTATACAGGAAATATACATTGTACATTAGTGACAATCAATATCTGTGATACAGTAGATGTATACAGTCAGGAAATATACATTGTACATTAGTGACAATCAATATCTGTGATACAGTAGATGTATACAGGAAATATACATGGTACATTAGTGACAATCAATATCTGTGATACAGTAGATGTATACAGGAAATATACATTGTACATTAGTGACAATCAATATCTGTGGTACAGTAGATGTATACAGGAAATATACATTGTACATTAGTGACAATCAATATCTGTGATACAGTAGATGTATACAGGAAATATACATGGTACATTAGTGACAATCAATATCTGTGATACATGTATACAGGAAATATACATGGTACATTAGTGACAATCAATATCTGTGTACAGTAGATGTATAACAGGAAATATACATTGTACATTAGTGACAATCAATATCTGTGGTACAGTAGATGTATACAGGAAATATACATTGTACATTAGTGACAATCAATATCTGTGATACAGTAGATGTATACAGTCAGGAAATATACATTGTACATTAGTGACAATCAATATCTGTGATACAGTAGATGTATACAGGAAATATACATGGTACATTAGTGACAATCAATATCTGTGATACAGTAGATGTATACAGGAAATATACATTTTACATTAGTGACAATCAATATCTGTGGTACAGTAGATGTATACAGGAAATATACATGGTACATTAGTGACAATCAATATCTGTGATACAGTAGATGTATACAGTCAGGAAATATACATTGTACATTAGTGACAATCAATATCTGTGATACAGTAGATGTATACACATGGTACATTAGTGACAATCAATATCTGTGGTACAGTAGATGTATACAGGAAATATACATGGTACATTAGTGACAATCAATATCTGTGGTACAGTAGATGTATACAGGAAATATACATGGTACATTAGTGACAATCAATATCTGTGATACAGTAGTATGAAATATATACAGGAAATATATACATGGTACATTAGTGACAATCAATATCTGTGATACAGTAGTATGTATACATTAGTGACAATCATCTGTGGAGAATACAGGAAATATACATGGTACATTAGTGACAATCAATATCTGTGGTACAGTAGATGTATACAGGAAATATACATGGTACATTAGTGACAATCAATATCTGTGATACAGTAGATGTATACAGGAAATATACATGGTACATTAGTGACAATCAATATCTGTGATACAGTAGATGTATACAGTCAGGAAATATACATTGTACATTAGTGACAATCAATATCTGTGGTACAGTAGATGTATATAGGAAATATACATTGTACATTAGTGACAATCAATATATACAGTAGATGTATACAGGAAATATACAGTAGACAATCAATATGTATACAGTACATTAGTGACAATCAATATCTGTGATACAGTAATGTATACAGGAAATATACATGGTACATTAGTGACAATCAATATCTGTATACAGTAGATGTATACAGGAAATATACATGGTACATTAGTGACAATCAATATCTGTGATACAGTAGATGTATACAGGAAATATACATGGTACATTAGTGACAATCAATATCTGTGATACAGTAGATGTATACAGGAAATATACATGGTACATTAGTGACAATCAATATCTGTGATACAGTAGATGTGATACAGTAGATGTATACAGGAAATATACATGGTACATTAGTGACAATCAATATCTGTGATACAGTAGATGTATACAGTACATTAGTGACAATCAATATCTGTGATGAAATATACAGTACAGGAAATATACATACAGTCAGGTACATTAGTGACAATCAATATCTGTGGTACAGTAGATGTATACAGGAAATATACATTGTACATTAGTGACAATCAATATCTGTGATACAGTAGATGTATACAGGAAATATACATTTTACATTAGTGACAATCAATATCTGTGGTACAGTAGATGTATACAGGAAATATACATGGTACATTAGTGACAATCAATATCTGTGGTACAGTAGATGTATACAGGAAATATACAGTACATTAGTGACAATCAATATCTGTATACACAGGAAATATACATGGTACATTAGTGACAATCAATATCTGTGTACATTAGTGACAATCAATATCTGTGGTACAGTAGATGTATACAGAAATATACAGGAAATATAAATTGTACATTAGTGACAATCAATATCTGTGATACAGTAGATGTATACAGGAAATATACATGGTACATTAGTGACAATCAATATCTGTGGTACAGTAGATGTATACAGGAAATATACATTGTACATTAGTGACAATCAATATCTGTGATACAGTAGATGTATACAGGAAATATACATTGTACATTAGTGACAATCAATATCTGTGATACAGTAGTATACAGGAAATATATACATTAGGAAATATACATACAGTAGATGTATACAGTCAGGTACATTAGTGACAATCAATATCTGTGGTACAGTGTATGAAATATACAGTAGTGATGTATACAGTATACAGGAAATATACATTGTACATTAGTGACAATCAATATCTGTGGTACAGTAGATGTATAGTCAGGAAATATACATTGTACATTAGTGACAATCAATATCTGTGGTACAGTAGATGTATACAGGAAATATACATGGTACATTAGTGACAATCAATATCTGTGGTACAGTAGATGTATACAGGAAATATACATTGTACATTAGTGACAATCAATATCTGTGATACAGTAGATGTATACAGGAAATATACATTGTACATTAGTGACAATCAATATCTGTGGTACAGTAGATGTATACATGTATACAGGAAATATACATTGTACATTAGTGACAATCAATATCTGTGATACAGTAGATGTATACAGGAAATATACATGGTACATTAGTGACAATCAATATCTGTGATACAGTAGATGTATACAGTCAGGAAATATACATTGTACATTAGTGACAATCAATATCTGTGGTACAGTAGATGTATACAGGAAATATACATTGGTACATTAGTGACAATCAATATCTGTGATACAGTAGATGTATACAGTCAGGAAATATACATTTTACATTAGTGACAATCAATATCTGTGGTACAGTAGATGTATATAGGAAATATACATTGTACATTAGTGACAATCAATATCTGTGGTACAGTAGATGTATACAGGAAATATACATGGTACATTAGTGACAATCAATATCTGTGGTACAGTAGATGTATACAGGAAATCAGGAAATATACATACAGGGTACATTAGTGACAATCAATATCTGTGATACAGTAGAGTGTGGTACAGTAGATGTATACAGGAAATATACATTGTACATTAGTGACAATCAATATCTGTGATACAGTAGATGTATAGATGTATACAGGAAATATACATGGTACATTAGTGACAATCAATATCTGTATACAGGAAATATACAGTACATTAGTGACAATCAATATGTATACAGTAGATGTATACAGGAAATATACATTGTACATTAGTGACAATCAATATCTGTGGTACAGTAGATGTATACAGGAAATATACATTGTACATTAGTGACAATCAATATCTGTGGTACAGTAGATGTATACAGGAAATATACATGGTACATTAGTGACAATCAATATCTGTGATACAGTAGATGTATACAGGAAATATACATTGTACATTAGTGACAATCAATATCTGTGGTACAGTAGATGTATATAGGAAATATACATTGTACATTAGTGACAATCAATATCTGTGGTACAGTAGATGTATACAGGAAATATACATGGTACATTAGTGACAATCAATATCTGTGATACAGTAGATGTATACAGGAAATATACATTGTACATTAGTGACAATCAATATCTGTGGTACAGTAGATGTATACAGGAAATATACATGGTACATTAGTGACAATCAATATCTGTGGTACAGTACAGGAAATATACATGGTACATTAGTGACAATCAATATACAGTAGATGTATACAGGAAATATACAGGAAATATACATGGTACATTAGGACAATCAATATCTGTGATACAGTAGATGTATACAGTCAGGAAATATACATTGTACATTAGTGACAATCAATATCTGTGATACAGTAGATGTATACAGTCAGGAAATATACATTGTACATTAGTGACAATCAATATCTGTGGTACAGTAGATGTATACAGTCAGGAAATATACATTGTACATTAGTGACAATCAATATCTGTGATACAGTAGATGTATACAGGAAATATACATTGTACATTAGTGACAATCAATATCTGTGGTACAGTATATAGTCAGGAAATATATACATTGTACATTAGTGACAATCAATATCTGTGATACAGTAGATGTATACAGGAAATATACATGGTACATTAGTGACAATCAATATCTGTGATACATGTATACAGGAAATATACATGGTACATTAGTGACAATCAATATCTGTGATACAGTAGATGTATACAGGAAATATACATGGTACATTAGTGACAATCAATATCTGTGATACAGTAGATGTATACAGGAAATATACATGGTACATTAGTGACAATCAATATCTGTGATACAGTAGATGTATACATTAGTGACAATCAGGAAATATACATTGTACATTAGTGACAATCAATATCTGTGGTACAGTAGATGTATACAGGAAATATACATTGTACATTAGTGACAATCAATATCTGTGGTACAGTAGATGTATACAGGAAATATACATGGTACATTAGTGACAATCAATATCTGTGGTACAGTAGATGTATACAGGAAATATACATGGTACATTAGTGACAATCAATATCTGTGGTACAGTAGATGTATACAGTCAGGAAATATACATTGTACATTAGTGACAATCAATATCTGTGGTACAGTAGATGTATACAGGAAATATACATGGTACATTAGTGACAATCAATATCTGTGATACAGTAGATGTATACAGGAAATATA